CAGAGGGACATCTGTAGAAGTACGACAACCAAGTTCTAAGTCTCTAGGTTGAGAACATTAGTTTAAATCAGCGCGGTTAGTGCAGGAAGAATTCATCACTTACTAGTACTTCCACTAACAAACGTCGATCCAACACTGATTATTGAGATTCAACATCCTACCGTCGTCGCAGACGCTACTTCACAAAACGTAATGACATAAAGAATCGTTACCAGACGCACAAACGAATGGGAGAAAGAGAGAAAATCCAAATCCTCATCCCAAAGTAGTACAGAGTGACAATGAAGACCTACGCGTAATCGATGTATTGTATATGCGAGACCAGTAGCAGAAACAGAAATCCACTTCTACATTAACTTCTATCCTATTCCAACCAGCTCGTTGCTTAGAAGCATTCTGAAGAAAATGAAGGATCAGGACGCAGTCTGACATAAAAAATTGTAGGCACTTACTGCGGTGAACGATACCAGGACCGCTTTCGTCGTACTCCTGCTTCGAGCACCACAAGTTCTGGAACGTGGAGAGCGATGCGAGAATAGAACCACCAATCCAGACGGAGTATTTGCGTTCGGGAGGAGGAGCAACGATCTTGACCTGTACAAGATATTAAGTCGGCAGTTGCCTATACATTGAGATGCACTGACCTTCATGCTGGAAGGCGGAGAGCGACGTCAGCTCCTTCTGCATACGGTCAGCAATACCAGGGACTCGTTGTACCGCCAGAGAGGACAACGTTTCCGTAAAGGTCACGACGGATATCAAGATCACACTTGAAGATGGAGTTGTATCTGCATTTGTCATTGAGCGACAAGAATAGAAGACGTAGTAGTGAACATACGTTGTCTCGTGAATACCAGCGGCTTCCAATCCCAAGAAAGCCGGTTGGAATAGTGCCTCAGGAGCACGGAACCTACGAGAAACATCAGTTATACACGTACTACCACAATAGTGCAAGATGAACGCACCGCTCGTTACCGATGGTGATAACCTGTCCATCGGGCAATTCGTAGGACTTCTCCAGGGCACTGCTCGCGCAGCGGTCTGCAGCTCCTGCTCGAAGTCAAGGGCAACATAGCACAGCTTCTCTTTGATGTCCCGGGACAATTTCCCTCTCGGCCGTGGTGGTGAAGGGGTATCCACGCTCCATCAAGTTCTTGATCAAGTACTCGGTCAAATCACGACCAGCGAGGTCGAGACGGAGGATAGCATGAGGAAGAGCGAAACCTTCATAAATGGGCACGGTGTGCGTGACACCATCACCGGAATCCAGGACGATACCAGTGGTACGACCGGAGGCGTACAGAGACAAGACGGCCTGGATAGCGACGTAAAAGGCAGGGGCGTTGAAGGTCTCGAACATAATCTGGGTCATCTTCTCCCTGTTCGCCTTGGGGTTGAGGGGCGCCTCCGTCAATAGAACTGGGTGCTCCTCAGGGGCGACACGGAGTTCATTGTAAAAGGTGTGATGCCAGATCTTTTCCATGTCATCCCAGTTCGTGACGATACCGTGTTCAATGGGGTATTTCAACGTAAGGATACCTCGCTTAGATTGTGCTTCATCACTGTATCGCTAAGATAAGCGGCGTAGATGCGAGAAAAAGTTGAGCACGGACCCAACATAGGAGTCTTTTTGGCCCATTCCGACCATGACACCCTGGTGACGAGGGCGACCGACGATAGACCTAGTTCTGGTGAGTTTCCTGCACGTTATTAGCAAGAAATCGAACTCACGGGAAAACTGCGCGAGGAGCATCATCGCCTGGAGAAAACTGTGATTCAGCGCCAACAGCAACAAGAGAAAGTGAATATCTGTACCAGCAACTGCAAAAAGATCAGTAATAGAGCAAAAGAGGCGTAAAATGGGACGCACAGCCGGCCTTGCACATTCCGGATCCATTGTCAATAACCTGGAAAGGAGATCAACTTGCGCCTGCATCCAAAGGGCGATAAACCGTACAAGTGCTGCGACTTCTTCCTCCATTATGCTAGTGTATATGTTCTGTATCCCGCCGTGAGATAAGGAAAAAGGAGAAAGGAAGGGCTTTACCTTTTGATGGTCGTGGATGAGATGAAAACGGGCAAAGGGCTGAATTCTGCAGTGCCCTGTCGCACGTTATCGGATGGGTTTAGGGCAGGCTTTTATTTCCTTTTTGGGATGTCTCTGGTAGTGTTTCGATGACTCGGCTTAAAGCCGCGCGCCACGCCAGTCAAGCCGAACTAAGTCACGCCGATGTTGCCGAATGACTTCGGCAAAGTCACACCACAGTACCGGCTCGGCGCGGCTTAGCGCGACTTGAAGTTGCCCGAGCTTCGACTTGAGTAAAAAAATACCGAAATGCTATTTTAGGTCGACTTTGATTTTTTCCCGCAATTTCTCCGAAAATTGTGGAATATTACGTTACCTAAAATCTATCGATGAGCTTCCATTTAAAGCAAATGCATGAAGTCATAGCTTGACCGGCTGGAGCGGCGTGACGGCAACTTGGCTTCAAAGCCATCAAAAATTATGACTTAGTGAAGCCGTTGAAGCCGAAGCCGAATGGAGTCGCGCCGAGCCGCGCCAAGTCATGTTATCGAAACACTAGTCTCTGGTGGCGCGCAGCTTCTTTGGCGCTGACCATTGCTGACTTGCGACGACATCGCCTAGGCTGTGCTCAGTTGATTTTTCGGCTTCTATTTGCCAATCTCTGCCATATTTTTGAGTCCCCTCATGCGTGTATCTTGCTTCCTTAAGTTACTCTCTTGGTAGCGAACAAGTTCATGGCTTGGGACGGCAGTGGTACCAATCAAGTTCTGCCAGTGCTGAGCCTGGTTTTCTAGCTCCTACGGCGCCCGGGATTGCGTAAAACTGCGGCATGACATCACCCATGGGGCCTTTGCCGTAAGTGCTTAATCATTCCAAAGGAGGCTGTCCATATCGACATTGGACTCGTAGTCGCAGGGTGGAATGAAATCCAGTCCAACTTCAGCACCTTACTTTAGGTGATGATCACTTTAGCTTACCTTACATACCTAAATATCTGATACACTAAGCAGGGGGAATGAAAAGGCTACGTCGTATACCTTACTATGTCCAGACACATCTGGCAAATTTGTACTTCAAATGCTCAAAATCGAATGAAAAGGGTAATTTACACTGTAGTGAGATTTTGGAAAGAAGAAACAAGACAAGTTAAAGAATTCAGTACATATTCACAAGGGGCTAGTAGCAACGGGATTCCCTCATTGTTTTCACGTCTGGAGCTGCCTCACTTCTGCTTTACCGTTATGAGCATCATATTATACTCACGTGTATAGTGGGTAACGGGCAAAGTACACCTTGCAATCTGGTATACAAAAAGTACTAAATGATACGCCAGCTTAGTACAGATTGCGCTGTCAAACCAATGGGCACTCGGGTAAGGCTGATGGGATTAGAGAAACAAGGGTGGAATGATGCGAGGAATTCCGCATGACATACTAAATTCAAAAGACACGTCATGTTTCTGATGGTAATAGGAATCACTGCGAAATTAAGTGCAAGAAAACGAGTCCACATGGATCTACAAGGTGCAACAGGTCTTCCCCCGCTTCTGTCTATCCTGTCAGTGGCTTGAAGCCCACCATCTACGCAGATCCAAGTCAATATTAGAGGATTTAGAACTATCTCATGGAATACCAGCGAGAGACCAGAGTCACTGAACCTTCCCGGGTATACTACGCACCAAAACATGACGAAGGAAGGAACGGAAGTTGCCGTAGAACTGCCTGCGGCATTTCCCGCATCTCGATCCATCCTTATCAAGTGTGCCAACTACCACTTCAACCGCAACCACCACCATCAAGCTATTTTCAAGAATGCCGCCCGTTAGCAACGTCGCCCACCCTTCACTATTGCTCTCTGCTTGGCGCGTCGCCATCGCATTTGCAGTTCTTCTTGGCTTTGCCCTCACGCTGTACACGCTCTCCTTTTGCTTTCGCACTACGAGCCCGCCTTCACCGCCGCCAGTGTTTTCCTCAGAAAAACACAGTGTCAAGAGACTGTCTTTGCCGTCGAGCGCATATTCGCTTTCACCGCCTGTACCCTGCGTAACCAAAATGGACGATAATGATATCCCCTTCTTTGCGCCCTATCATACGAACATTACGCCTGCGGACCCAAAGCTTCAGCCGGTGACTGGATACTCGCACGGAGTCATGGCCGCTGGTCGTAACTTCTTGGCTGGAGCGAAGAAGAGCAAGGGCGGGCGAATGTTGTCTCTGCGTTAACACGCTGCGACTGTTGGTTTTCTGTGGTAGCTTTTTGGGATATTGGTTGTACTGGTTTTCGTGCGCGCTTCTTTTACATTTATTCATTCCCATCATTTTCATGAATCCCACGCTCCTTCATCACGCCTCATTCATTTTATGTGCATGTCTACTCCACGGTCATAATGATATCATTAGTTCTAGATGGTCGCGAACAAGAGACGATTTTTCCATTGAAGACATCTATGAACAACGCTCAGTTGGCGTGTCTGACTTATCTGCACGTTATCTTCACTGTGCCTTTTCCTCAAAATTCAACCCGGTATGGTGGGCGCATTAGGACCTGGTTCTCGCGTATACCATGCGCTAAACTTCAGTATTATTTAGCGTTCAATCGGAAGACAGAATCAGATCATTTCATGAAATTCGGTTGGTTTCCAACTTGTCGGTAGGGCTAGCACTAATCAACATGTGTCATCTGTAGTGCTTTCAGAACTCATCTACAGGGTCTTCCGTACATCCCGTTCTTTAAGGTCATCTCTACCTGCGCCAGTCAGATTCAAAGGCATATATCCACCTCCTTCCGCCGGACAAGCACTGCCGGATGGTATCTTGATGCGGGTAAGTACTCTAGATCCCCTGTCCGAATCAGACGGCCATCTCTATGGCCGTTTGACCGTCTACCATCAGCTTCGCATACGATTGTGGTCGGAGCCGCTTTTAATTCTGACCGCTAATGGTAGTCGCCCTTTAGCCCTTTTCTTCCTCCGATAAACCGGATCGAAGGCTCCTCGGATTCTCAGCCAATGTGAGTCGGCACCTCATCTTGAGGCAGTGTAGGACTTCGATGCTTTTGGTCCGCAGGTTGATGCACTGCAAATTTTAGGTGTTTTCAGGCTTTCCCGACACATGTGATGCCGTTAATTTACTGGTAGAGCATCGGACAGCACACATGGTGCATCGACCAATAACTCTGCTCCTTGGCGATGATCTATTTTCAGGACCCCGCTATCCTCGCTTTTTCTTTTTCGTTTGGCAAGGATTTACAAGATGAGCATCCCCCCATGTTCTCCGAGATTTAGGCTACACGACTTGTGGTGAGGAGCTTGTCTCCAACCTCGCTGCTCCCTTAAAACGGTAGTGGTTGCCGTGGGTCCTAAATACATCATCTTCTTTCGCTGACTATACATGCAGCGTGTCCTGGTTCGCGGGATCAGTTTGCTTCTTTTTCCTGTCCCCAATTTTGACACTTGGTGATCTACAGGGTCGGATATCTCTCGGAACAGAATACAACCGCTCTTTTGTTTTTTCATTGGCCTGCTCTCCTCGTTGCCAACTATTATATTTAGGGCATCCCATTCGAGTTGGATGACATACTCTCCTTGTTGCGGTGGCGGCTTACAGTCGTATCAACGGTGAATGCTGTAAGCTATGGATATAACGAGCTGCGACGTCTTCGTGCCATTCATTCAGCAAAGTCCTCGGCATTGGAGAGGTTTGCACGGTCGCGGCAGCAGTCTGACGAATCGATGGCCCGCTCTCTAGCCGGATTAAGATTTCTTCCCTTTCCATTGATTCTGGTGGGAATGAGAATCATTTCGCAAGAACCACTGGTGAGAAAATAGTCTCTTGCATTCATTTCATACTAGACATCTGACCTGAAGCGTTCAGAACGGTTCCGGTCCCTCATTGTCAACTCCGCGAGCGAAAATCACGCCATCGGATGCCCGACCCAGGACATGTGTACTGGTTTACCGACGTCTATTTCGAGATGTAGACGTCACCTCTGGTTCTGGACATAATTTAGTCAGACCCAGACTGAATTAAGCTACAGTTGAAGACTTTACGACTCTTCCATCTTTCTAATCCTCTTCATATTGGAGCCGGTGACATGGGCATACTATCTTTGGGACTCACGACCGGGGAATATTCAAATTGATGAGAAAGGCGGCTTGTCAGAGGTTGGCCAAAATTGGGTTGCGTAGATCGAGATAGAGGTGTTGAGGTACAGTAGGCCCATTGTGAATGTCCAAGTTGACCCTTCCCCTCATTCGTGGTCGTTTACGAAGCCACTTGCGCTCCCGGTGTGATGATGGTTAGACCCGATATTTCCAATGTCGGGCTTTAATTTGTGGGGACTACTTTTTTTTTTCACTAACCGTCACGGCGACGACGTCGTCGTCCAAACTGTTCGACGCATACGCCCATTTACCGGGAAATAGAGTCGGCTCATCCGTTGGAATATTTTTGTTACTCGCTTGGCCGATATCCTCCTGGCTAGTTGCCATCAAGCGCGGCTTAGGGATCGAATCGGCTCCGTTCCTTTTCCGGGAACTCTATTGTCGGCGGAGGAGTGGACTCCCTTCCGTTGGAGCTCCTCATCCAACGCTGTTGCGCCCCTGAGGATACCGCCGGACCTTTCCAGCAAGTGCGCTAGAGTTCAGACGCTACTGGACCGCCCCCCCGCCTTGCGCCCAGTCACTCGCGCTCAGAAATTCCTCGACCTTATACGCCTTCGCCAATCTTTATTCCCGTTCCTCTTTCCAGTAGGGGGCACCAGGAGGGGGGCTACAGTGTAACCCCGGATTCTCTCGCTGCGAAGGAAACGAAGGTGCGTCTTCATGTGCTCCTAACTTTGGGGATAAAGGCCCATTCATCTCATTTTGCAGAAAGCGCGCCCTCTTTATGCGCATCGGGGAGGAGGAGGAGGGTGCTCTTCGAACCAAAGGGAGGACGGCAATGCCATCGGATCACAAATGATGCATCAGGTTCGTCATATGAAGCTGGAAGGTGCTCAAAAGTGCCGGGGTCAGGATATTTGCGATAGGCTAATTGAATGGGGCCTCTAATCCATCCTTTCAGCTTTATCGCATTGACAGACAGGATGAAAGACTCTCAAGCTCCAACAGACCAAGTCGGAAAAGAGGATACATGATTTATTGGAGAATAGACTCGTGGAGTAACTGCACGGTAATATCCCGTTTACGTCTGTGCAGTCGGCTGATATGCTGGACAGACAGGACTCGCTGAAAACCTGAGCTATTCAGGTTAGAAAAGAATAAATCAGGGAAGACCCTATCTCTGAAATACCAAGACTCGGAGTTGTTGAAGTCCTTATACCCGCATAAGACCACTACGAAACTCGGGCGGGGTCCTGTGGTCTTGAGGCCTGAACCCCGGGCCCTGGCTGTTGCCCGTATCGATTATTGCACATTACATTGTGAGGCGACACTCGGCATTGCGGCAACTTTGTGTCGTTGAGGCGGTCCTCATGGCAGCAACAGCAACTGGAGCTTCAATAGTAATGTGGCGCGACGCGTTCTAGCGTCTCCCTCGTTCGCGCGGGACGGATTACCATCGACACGAAGTAGACGATATCTGAAACTGCTTAACGAATGATCGGAATTTAAGAATGATACAACGGTAGACTCTCTATTTCTTATTTGTTCTGGTCGCCTTGCCATGACCGCAAGCTTGTCGCCCCAGAGTTTTTAGCACCGTCTACCCGTTTCATGCGATTATTCTGGTAGTATTCTTGGCTCCATCAGACGTTCGATATATCGGATCCAGTTCGTTGTTGATCGGAGTAATGATTCCAATAGTACGGCACCGGTACGTTTATCATGTCATATTTCATGATAATTTGCTTCTTGTTAGGCTTACCCGTTTGTGGAAGTCTGAAGGCCTGGCGTCAAGAAACCAGCGTCTTCATTGAGGTTTAGCGTTACTAATATCCGTTATTTCAAGTTCTTGGTCAACCTCTTGATGTCAGTGCGCCCTCGCTCCGCATCATATCGATCACCTCGTACATGCAGCTGGCGCATCGTCTCTTATAGAAAACATCGCGGATCTTCCCTCGACCCTGACAAAGTACGCATCACAGATCCCGAGCGATGGTGATGATACTCTAGGTCGGTCTATCTATGGGCATCCAAGGAAACCTGTGAAGTGTACAACTGTCAAGGGTCGGAGGCGGAGGTCCTTGGATTTCTCAGCGCTCATTTGCGCCCTGTAAACGGAAGTTCGGATGAGTCAGAGTTGATTAAGCCGCTTTCATTACCGTCATTACCGTTACTGAAGCGGCTTTTCAATTGAATGCGGTAATTATTGATACCCTGGCGATTCATAAAACCTTCTTCCTCCTAGATGATGTCAATAATTTGTGATTCCCAACACGAGGCAGTTTCCGAGGGTACTTCTCCGGGATTGCCTAAGCTGAAAGGTATGTGAGAGTGAAAGGCGAAGAAGGGGCGGCGTCTTTTGACTGTGGCCGAATCCCCACGACATCCAGGGAAGAGAATCTGTGCCCAGATCTTTTACTACGCCTATCGTAGGTCATGAGAAGCCCAGCTGCCAGCAGCTGGCATGATGTTGCATATGCCAGTCTTACTTTGACACTGCACTTTGGCGTGTTTTTCGCACTCGCCGCGATGGAACTCTGATGGTCCAAGTTGGCCGTCTTTGAATAGAGAAAAGCATCGTTATTTATTTAATGGATGTACTCCGCAGTTTACCTATACATCTTACCTACGTATCCAACTTACTGTTTTCCTTCGAAGAAACGCATCATTACTGATAGTACGGATCGAGGAGCGGTGAGACGGCTCCTTACGTTCGCAGGACAGCGGCGATCAATATTAGGGCGAAGTGCCTTTTTCGGTGAACTTCGCCTGATGGATGGGGGTACGAGAGGTTAACGAGCACAGATAAAATATGTATATTACACTGTCAAAACGAGGCGAAAAGAGGGATATGTGGACGTAGGGAATAATGCAGACGACATTCGTTAGAAAGGGAACGCCCGCGATAGGCACCGTGATCGGGGATAAATACAAACAAATACGGGAATTGCCGAATCCAGTGAAGGAATCAAGCAGTCGGAGTTTACCACCACATTTAAACTTGCCATGAATCTGGCCTTCTCTTCGTCCTACATCGTCCCGCCGTCTTTATCCATGCAGCATGCCCCCCTTCTCTCTTTACCAGCAGAACTCATCGAGGAAACTGCGCTCTATGTTGCTTGTTCGACGTTGGCAGGCCGTCCGAATTCTATTCGTTCATTTTCGTCTGACATGCAAGGCCATTAACAAGGTCTTTTTGTATTCAAAATGCTATCCACAGGTCGATTTTCAAGAGGAAATTTAGTCACAGCGCCGTAGCTAGACGATCGTTCGAGCCCACGTCGAAAGAATATCGCCAGCTGCTTCAACTGTACGACGACAGTCTGCAGTTTATCGAGGAGCGACGGGGCCCTCGATGGAAGGAACCTGTGGATGCTGATCATATGTCGACAGAAGAGGTCCTCTGGGTGCTGACGTTCATGTGTTTGGATGACGACGGTGCCAACACCCTCCAGCTGAACACCGTCGGTGGCGTACGAATGGATTCACGAACTCGTCACCAAGCGTTTGCATGACGGTGCGAGTGATAATGGTGGATGGCCGCTCGACAACTGCAGGAATTCTTTGGCATTATGGGTGTTTCTGGTCCCTGTCGACTAAAGGTATGTTTCTTGCGATATCGAACTCTTTTTTCCCCCTGATGTTGTTATATATAGAGCGAATCCTATCTGAACCAGAAGATGTTTCTGACAGAATTGTCAACTTGATCCTTCCCTTCGTTACCATCCCCTTCCGGTACCCCATGGCCTTTGCACCCTCCCAATCACTTTACCCTCCCACTGGTTTTCCCAGTCTGGCCGACTTCTCCAATGCAAATACCAGTGCCCGTATACCCTTCCGTACACGCCAAACCCACCTTCTCTCCGTTCTTACTCCCCATGGCCCCTTCCCCATCTACCGTTCTACGGACCCGATTTGGCTCCAGGTGTACTTTACCAGGCGCATAGAAGTAACGTGGCCCCTCATCACTGCAGCGGCGAAGTTGCTACTTTGCGAGGAGGGAGAGGTACGCGTTGGGCATGATGCCTACTCTTCCTAGAGATCGCGCAGATGCTATACAGAGGGGAATGACAGGCGCCACGCAGGCCGATATCATCGAGATCAATCGGAATCGATTGGGTGGGTCCCAACGGTAAGGACGGCGGCACGAAATTGCCCGACAGCGTCACGAATGTCGGTCCTGATGGCATTGATGAACGGTCGCAAGCCAGCAGGCTGTACGATGCAGACTGGTACCGGCTGCGGTTATGTGGGAACGTCTGGGCTAACAGCCATGGTGATGACGATGAAATCTGGAGACGCGTTAAACTGGGCAAGAAAATGCTGGTCCGACAGGGAAATGGGGACTCGAAGGTTAAAGTTTCGACGCGGGGACGTGTATACTCTCGGCTCGTTAACGGGATTGTGGGCTTGGACGTATGCTGGTAGGTGTTCATTTCATCTGCTCGTGGTTGGGCTGTGTGTACCTCTTGAAACGACAGAACGTTACGGTTCCTGCCCCCGTTTTATGCCTATTACCGCGGTGATGACGCGCTGGCATCGCCCGGAGGAATAGTTTGGCGTTCACGACTGGGTGGCAAGCCCGCCTGCTCGACAGATATTCCCCGGGGAGTCGTGCTGGGGGAAACACACAGCCCCCTCCCTGGTTTCGTTCTCAATATGTTTTACTGACCTGTCACCATTCTAGATTCCAAACGAACAAGCTCTTGCTCAACTTCTGATGGTCCAGAACCCGAATCCCCAGCAGCACAACGGTCATCCTGTACCTCTACCCGCAGGTTTCGACGAAATGCTACTGTCGCTCACGAATCGGCCCCATATATATGAGATTACAAGAGTTCGTATCGTATGCCGGCGGCGATATCGTTCCTTCTGGTGCACGCGGACCACAGCCGCTGTCCTTTTATGAAGATGCCGAGGGAGATGAAGAGGAAGAAGAGGAAGAAGACATGGACGATTCGCCCGTTCCCGAGATCACCGACCAGCGGCTACTCGAAGAGTTCGACCAGGGCCTACAGAATGCCTATTTCCCTGATGGCGTCACGGAGGAATCCTTCAAGGGAACGTACGATGGCACTGGCATGCGTATGATTTGCGGTGGGAAGGAGTACGTCTACCATAAACTGGGAGGTACACAGCACGATCCTGATTCGTGTGTTGGTGTGTGCGATGAGGGAGAAGCAGGCGATGCCTGCGTGGTCGGAGGAGGAGCACCCGGCGGATATGGTCCCTCTGCCTCCTTGTACGGGCGTGCAGGACGTGATTGTGACGGGCTCGACGGATGATAGACACGGGCAAGCGTGGAACCACTATGTGTACTACGGTCGCGTGCGACGATGGGATGGGATGATTGGGATTCTGAGGGTCCCGCGAGATAGAGGGCTGGGCAAGTGGTTCTTCTATGGATATATTGTGGGTGGGAAGAACTTTGTGGGGAACTGGAGGATTACGCATGAGGATCCGGGATGCCGACGGTTGAAGGAGCGTTTTGTTTATCGAAGGTGACGGAGGAGTGATTGAATATTGAGTATTTACTATATACCCTGTGAACTTTGGAGACCTGTTGTTGTAATTTTTATTGTACTGATTTTGTTTTAATGCTATTGAAAGCATTGGCTATTTTGTATCAGCATAATCTGGATGGCAAGCTGCTTATGATATCCATTTTTGAAAGAACACGAGAACTCGTGAGGGAAGATTTGCACGCGTTACGATGTATTTCGACCTCGGTGGGATACTTGACTGACAACGCCGAGGTACGAAATTTTATTATTACCGTGTACATCAGCAGGTCAAAAGACTCAAAGATCTGGGTTTCGGTTAATGGAATCTGGAAGCGGAGTTGGTATCCGGTTCATTCACCGCCGGCACGGGATCACGAGTTGAGTATTACCCTGAATATCAATAAGGTCGGAGTGTTCACGATGATGGCGGTTAGAATTTGTCTTTCCGGCGGCTGCTCTGAACCGCGGGCGGCTGGCCGCTGGATGTTACCCTGACGCTTATGGCTGTCAAACTTGTGTATAGGGTGGTACTGAGGTGCGTAGGTAGAGAAAAGTTAAGCGCTCCGAGGCGGAGAAGGCTTCGCGTTGACGTCTTTCCATGGAATCCAAGGCCTCTTCCCGCAGCCATCTTATCGTGTAGGTGTGAGGTTCCCGCGAGCCTAGATCAGCACGTAAAAACGTTTGCTACGCGACTAAAAAGTCCATTTACCACGCTTCGCGGCCCAGTTTCCCCCATATTTTTAGCTGTGCGACATGGATGTTCCTGGTTCGCAAAGTTCCTCTCTAAGTCCTGGTGACCCTGACCACGGATGTTGGTTGCTCCACAGAAAATGAGAACGAAACTCCGCGAGCGCGGGGACGTTTAACGGGACCGATGCTGTGATATGTATGAACGGAGAATGTACAGGGCGTGAGAAACGTAGTTACTTCAGATACCGCAGAGGATCTTTGATTATAAGAGCGTGTGAGACGGGGAGGTTCTATAGAGTTATTTTTGTACTAACGGTTGACAAGAATGCCGGTAAAATTTACGGGAACGGAGGCTGGGATTGCCGTACAATGCTGTCAGAGGAAGTCCGATAGATTCCCCACCTCTCCGTAACATATTTTACGGCCCTGGAATACACGAAGTAATGAACTTCTCGATCCGAGGCACATGATGAGTCGATCGCCGTGAATATGAGAGAAGGCCGAAGTAAGATAGGGTAAACAGAATACTAAGTGGCGTGGTTATCGAAGGCACAACGACCACATGACATAGGCGCAATGATTTCTGATTAGTATCCAAACGAATCACTGGTACAATTTGTGGCTACTCCTTCTTGGGCTTTGGCTTCTTTCCTCCCAGAGAGTACCATATGGTCCCTAAGAGAACCATAGCCGCACCGGCCCACAAAAGACGCATATCAACGTTGTTAGTCGTCTGGCGCATCGCTACGCTCAGAACAAGGCTAACAGCTTTGCGGACAACGAGAACGAGTGTGACGGTAAGTGAATTAACCCGCGTTGTCAAGCGGTTCACACCGGAGACGCAGACGAGCTGCGTGAGAGTGTTGAGGAGGAGGGCAGGGTAAGCGGTGGGTATCAATATAGATGATATCTTTGGCCCAGCGTGGATAAGGTGAAATTGCGTTGCAAGGTCATTTCGAAGGAGAAAAAACATGGGAAGGGCTAGGAAGTGGAGGTAGAACATGGACTCTTTCCATGCCGACGCGCCGGAGTATTGGGAGTATGTGTGGTCCTGGACGAGACCGAGAAAGCCAGAGAGGATGAGGGCTAGCGATAGAATGCATATGCCTGTCAGATATGTGTTGAGGCCCATATTAGAATCATTGGAAGATGAATTGGATGCGGATAGCGTTGTACAGACCACACCCAGTGTGACGAGAAGGACGGATAAAACTTGGTGTATATTGTACCTAAGATTCATCAGATAATATGACATTGTGAGCAAAGAGAAAATGCATACTTTTTACGAGCGACAGACCACCCTAGTATCATGCTAACAACCAAGCCCCCGCTCCGGAATATTATATGCACAGACATAGGTATCTGGTATGCAAAAGCGGCATTGTTCAAGAGGGATATGATATAAAACAGAGCAACCTGAATAAGATAACGAGAGATGGGAATTCTAGTTGGTGCAAGACGAGGTCCGTAAGAGGTCCAGATGATATGCTTTGGGAGACCGTATAATGAAATGATAGAGAACTGGAAAAAGGTAATGAGGGATCCAGCGGAGGGGTAGTCGGAGGTAAGCTGCTCAAGGCTGACGGCATTGCTGCAGCACCCGCCAAATACGAGGCCCAGCGTCGCCAGCCAGTCGTACATTGTCGTGGTCGTGTCTAAGTCGTGAATTCCTCGTGGTCGTCGTGGTCCAGGAGTGTAACGTGTCACATCACATGATGAGCGCGTTATTTGTCTATATTTTTCACATATAAGAAGGCCTTCGTCGGCTGTCGTTCGTCCCGCCTTTCTTTCCTTCCCTTCCACATCCCTCTTGCCCGCTTGCTGCTTTATATCCAATATTACGCATAATCTATACATTCTATTCCTCATTCTCTTGTGATGTCGGCTCGTTCGTCCCATCGCCGTCATCCGGCTTCTCTCATCCCAATTTCTGCGCATAACCCGTATCTCGTGAATCTCATGGCTTCCCGAATCTCGCCGGAAATGATAGATTATGTTGCTCGCCAAGCGACAAAAGTCATCCGTCTTGACTGTGACTCGCCTGTCAATGGAACTTCGCGAACATCGTACAAATCGTATTTCGATCCAGCGACCTCGCCGCATTCACTTCGAAATTTCATCGGTCGTATTGTCAAGGAGTCTCATGTGCAGGTCTCGACCTTCATGTCTTCCCTTGTGTATCTTGAGCGACTTCGAAGCAAGCTGCCTACGCTCTCCGAAGGTACGTTGGTGCTTTGGTCACCCTTTTTGCATTACCGCTTACATTGATTTACCTCGACAGGTCTGCCCTGCACAATTCATCGCATATTCCTCGCCACGCTTATTGTGACCGCCAAGTATCTCAACGATTCGTGTCCGAAGAACATCCACTGGGCTAAATATTCGAATCTCTTCACCGTCACAGAGATCAACTTGATGGAGATTCAGCTACTATATCTGCTGGACTATGATCTTCGGTTCAACGAGGAGGAAGCGTGTGCTCTGTTTGCTCCGTACATGTCTATTGTAGCTCGCCAGGCTAGTACGCGAGCGTCTGCAGTCGACAAGGTTGCAAAGGCCAGCAAAGCTAGAGCACTCTCTCAGGAGCAGAATCTCCGACAATCTGCCACATCATCGGAGGACGTTCCTCCTGCGCCATTCCCTGTTTCTCGCCCAATTTCTCTGGTTCGTGGACTCGCTAGACGCCTTTCCATGGCTCACATACGTGCGGATTCCGTTGCCCCCTTGCCTATGCCAACCGCTCTGACATCGAAATCAACGTCGACCACCTCGTCTTCATCAACTTCTTCAAGTGATATCTGTTCACTGGTAGATGATACTGGCTCGTCGTCTAGTTCGTCATCTGGAATAAGCTCGGAGTCAGAATCAGAGACCGAAGAACATGTCGAGCCGCGCGTCTACTCAAGCTCGTATGGTGACTACTACCAAGCCCTGACGCAGGAAGAGATGATAGCGCCAGGCAAGAAGCCTTTTCTTCTTCGTCCGTCGCCTGCATATGTGCACAGAAATCATCACATCACTCAGAATCGATCTCGAAAGCCTTCGGATGCGTCCTCTGTACGCACGATAACGGCGCTCTCTCCGACGCAGTGTTCCTCATTTTCATCAATTTCATCGCTCCAGTCACGTCGAAGCTCGGGCAAGCGTTCGGTATCAGGAGCGACGACTATAGCTACTGGTGTCAAGGAGTCATCTATCACGGCTAGCGTGACAATGCCAGCGATTGTAAGGAATGCTGGCTCAGGCGGATTCCTCAGTAGGATGTGGGGCGCTGCAAAGGGTCAAGCGTTGGGACACGAGAAGAGTGCGTCATTGGACTACGATACAACCTACTCCGGGCAAGGGCCGAACACGTTAAAGAAACTTGTGCTTGTGCATTCGAGGGCGGCGAATACGCGAAATGGAGGCACTTTCAACGTTTAGAGAGCACTGCCTTTGGCGACGGCTCGGACGCACGGCTTGGTGTTCGGTACTACGCATCAAAAAGCCAACACTTGGCTCATACTCTCATTTTTCGCATGGACACTGGATTCGGAAAACTCTTTGGTTTATCATCGCTTCGTTAGAAGTGCAAGGACACTACTCATCCTTCATCCTCATTGCTATCGCATCGCATCGCTATCCTATCATTATTCATCAGCATTTGGGACTTTCATCGGGACGTTACTATAGAGGATCATCATACCATTGCTACATAGATACCGTTTATCATCATGTACCATCGCACATTACTATTCTGCTCAGACTAGGCTACATTACTACTCTATGTATTATTCCTTACATTATATACTACTTAGATACTTCCTGTACACGTCAATAAAGACAAAAATGAAGGCATAGCCATGAGTGTACGGTGTGACGGGTGAAGGCCAGGCGCCCTACGGGTGAAAGGCAAAAGACAAGAAACGCGACTCTGTCATGTCTGGTTATATTTTCTTCAGCCGCGCTATAAAAATTTCTCTACTTTGTTAATATGTTGCAAATTCGAACGCTCATAGTACGCCGATGGTAGATCGATTATCTACCATGACCAACGTTTCCTCTTGTATCCTTGGCAGCCGAGCGAGCCGCGTCTTTATCGACGTGAAGGCGGAATGCCGTACATGAACTTGAAGCAAGTGTCCATACTAGGTGGTTGACTCGCGTGGCAGGACAGGAAATACCGCCCTGAGGCGGATGTGGCGCGGCATGTATCAAATTATGGAAAGTACAGGGAAACAGTAAGAGCTCATAGAGAGTACTAGCAGCTGCCTGCTTTATGATAGCAGTTCATAAGGGCGGAGAGTCTGTTGAAAAACGTCTGCACAAAGTCCTGGCGTTGAATACTAAATCGGGATTATGAATCAGATCACTGAGTATGCCCAAAAAGAAAAACGCCGGCGATCACGTGGGCAGGCGCAGTTTTGTTCCTGCCACCATATCGGTAACAACCATTGTTCTCCGGCTCTATAAATTATTCGACATGGCCGTCCTAATATTTATCGGAGCCCCCCCACCACCTTACACTAGAATGGCGACGCGTTCGTTTACTTCACGGCGTCGGAGTGAACGAATCCAGGGAATCCAGGCGCGCCAGTCTCGCGACGACGATTCACCGTTACCGGACCCAGTGCCCTCCACGCCTCCCAACAGTAACAACTTTCCCTCTAACGATGACGAGCGGCGGCTGGATTCCTCCTCTGATGACGATCTCCCTCCGTTTCGGGTACCCATGTCCAACAAACTCCAGAATACCCCATACGGCCATGGAAGCGCGAGCCACTCGGTGATCGAATTGCAGACGCAGGACGGCCAGAACCACAAAGTCGTTGAAGCAGATGCCTATCTCAGGGAGGACCTTCGTCATCGCGTCTTTGTCGATTTCGAGACCTTTCTTATCAACATTCTACTTCTTCCCAACGACTGGCGTGTCTCCCTCAAGCTGCCCATTGATGCTGTGAAGAAAGACAAAGCCTTTCAGCGATTATTCCGGGAGTACATGCGCCTATGTGACACAGTTGGAACGGGCTACGAGAAGGAGAGGAGTCTGTATACTCCTCATGCAGACCTATGTAATCGTGTCATTGACGTGGTTCGACCCAAATCCAAAAATCGACTTTCGAAGAAGGATCTCATTCAGTTTCACCGTATGGACCCTTGTGTCGTCCGAGGGTCAACCGACAAGGTTTCCCCTGACATTGTGAGCATGCTGCGTGCCATCTTCAACAAGCCCAAGAACGCTGCAGCTCGGAATTTTGTCAAAACCATCGGCAAAGCGAACTTCAAGTCAAAGCCTTCAAACGCCAAGTTCATTCCTGGGTGGCCTCATATCATTGAGGTCAAAGAGATGAAAGCTACTGATGATACCATCGACGAAGGTTATGATGCCATCAGACTATTGACCAAAGGTAATATTTTTCTCGCTGGAGCCAATGTCTTGTGTACTGATACTTCATATCAGATGGCAAGGATCCCTTGACGACGAGACCGCAGAAGAAACGTAAATACGCAAAAGATGGACCCGAGGTTGCCGCTTCGGCTGGTCCGCCCTTTGCACAGGAAAGTGAGACTTCACAGGGTGCTTCCCGAGGACGAAAGCGCAAAGCGGACCCTAACAACGAGGTACACGCATGCTCTCTCTGTTCTTGACATTCACTGATAGTATATGTTTAGCAATCTTCGTCAAAATATTCTCGGGTAGCGAAAACAGTATCGTCCAAGGGAAAATTGGCCACCAGCAGGGATCAGAAAGTCCTCGATGAAGATGGCTTCGCGCCAGGGACGGATAGGGCAGAAAAAGCTCGCATTCAGTGTGCGCGCTATGCTCTGCAGATACTGTCAAACGCCGGACTGAGATCCCACGCAATCATAACTCTCATCGACCGCGACCGCATGCAGCTCTCCTACTACGATCGATCCATCATCATTGTTTCCCAAGCCATTGACCTTGCAAACGAAGACGATAAAACGCTTTTCATCGCCATGTTGATAGGATCTCACCGTCTTACGCTCAAACAACGTGGTATCCTTCACCATATCATCGAAGACCCGTATATCACTGATTTCGATCGATTCAACGATAATTCGAAAGATCCGACGATGCTGTTCTCTGGACTTATCATGCACCTTCAGAGGGAAGGCGAGCCCATCAAGCTTACATTGGGCAAAACGGTCTATCGTCAGCGAGGTCTTGTTGGCCGTGATACGTTTGTCGTCCATGCAACATGTGCTGCATGGCCTGGCAGGAAGTTGGTTGTTAAAATCAGCTGGCCGAGTGCCACGCGGATGTCGGAAAAGGTGTTACTCGACATCGCCAAGGCGAAAGCCGCCGAGTTGGCTGGCGAAGGCAAGAAGCACTGGGTTCTAGATCACCTACCGGATATACTCCATGAGCAAGACTTCGAGTTCGATGAAGAGTCGGCGCAAAAGCTAATCGCAAGAATGATGAAGGGCAAGTTCGTCGGAAAAGAGGGCACATACGAAGAGCGCGTTCTTCGTATTACCGTTTTGGAAGAGCTGCTGCCGATCACAAGTCTTGGGAAGGACAGCGACTACGCACAGGTCTTTGTTGATATACTCCAATGTACGCCTTTATTGCTCCTTTTCCGGTATTTCTTGTTTTGACGTTAAATTATAGGTCACAAGTGGCTTTACGACCATCCTCGGATACTTCATCGAGACATCAGCATGGCCAATTTGATGTATCGGATCGACAGCGAGGGGAATATCGTCGGAGTCCTGAATGACTTTGATCTTTCGTCGTTACTTCCCATCGACAAGGCTACGTCCTTCCGTCGCACGGGTACGCCACCTTACATGGCTCTCGATCTTCTTAAAGAGCAAGACGATTCTGGTCCACATCTTTACCGACACGATTTGGAGGCACTATTCTATGTCATGTTGATGATATGCTGTCGTCACTCTATTATCAAAGAACCTCAGCCCCGCGGCGCATCGCAATTGGAAGAGATCCCTAAAACCTTTTCGCAGTGGTTTGATCGGGGGATGTCTTGGGACATCTTGGGAAAACTCAAGAGATCCTTCTTCAGTGATGAAGAACCCATTCCTGTATCTGCAAGCTTCAAAGCCTTCCGTCCTTGCCTCACAGCCCTTCGCCGTGCGTTTTCGGAAGGGTTCTTCGCACGTGCGAGATCGATGGAGGAGCCTTTCAAGGTGGACCAGAGCGAAAGGGATGAATTCGATTTCGATAATACTCAACCATCCTCCGAGTCTGTGCAGGGGCCATCACAAACACCATTTAATGAAGAGACCCTAGGTGGATTTATATCATATGGGGTGTTCCTCACCAACATGAGGAGATTCAAAGGGGAAGGGCTCACTTTGAAGAACAAGGAGCCCCCCGCAGTGGCGTCTTCGTAGATGATACCGCTAATTCAATCGCTGTACTTGTGATCTCACTATTAAAGACCAATTCCTTTTGTATTGGTTACGGTTCACCAGATATGAGTGTGGGATACTGATAATCGTACTTATCACCAAGATGGACAGTCATACTGAAGTCTCAGACGCGAGAAGGCATGACTTAAACCTTGAATTCTCTAAGTTAACAGAAAGTTGTGAAGGTTCAACGTTCAAGTTCAATTGCCGCACATCTACCGGCTGCATCACGTGAGGTGACCGACGCGGAATTCAGTGAGTTTAACGTCCAGTTGAAGATTACTGTTTAAATAACATCGAACCAACACCCATACATTCCGAGCGACTTCATATTGTTAAAATCAAAGAGGCGAAAGCTTCCAAAGGAAACAGACTGGAGTGAGGCCCTTTTATACATGTCGAGATAACACCAGGTCGCGCTAAGTGTGCAAAGTCGCGTTGGAGACACGATGAGACACGAGAAGGCGAGTCGCGGCGTGCATCCGTGACTCCATCACGTGGTGTGACTGACGCGAATGAAGCTGGTCCACCCATTAGAATTGCGACAAAATGTATCATGGCACACCTAGTGAAGAGCGTTGATCAGCAAAAAGCTGAAGTACAACAAAAACACTTTACTGTATTCTGAGATTAATCACAAGGAAGCAGGAAAAAGATAAACATGTGAATATTTAGGGAATACAAGGAGATACAGTGCGCATGGATGAGTGATAGTATAACATGAACTTGATAGATCCTGAGATATAGAACGTAGATGCAAATAAAAGGAGAATGCCACACATTAGCTGGAATGAAATTCTAAACAGTCGAGGCAGGTGATAGTATCGCTAGGAGTGAAATCAGTGTATTGGCAGAAAACGATATAAAATTGTAGCACCTTTGAACGTTTTCAACACAACAGTCACGACATACCACTCTCCCACAGCTTGTGACTTCTTCTTCACCGTCGCTGTCCTTCCTGGACTCCGATTTGCCACCGACCTCGCTATCGTTGTCGGCGGGTTTCTTCCTTTTATGGGATTGCGGCAGAGGAGATGGAGGCGGATTCGTGGTCGTTGTTGTCATTAGATTTGTGTTTGGTGCATTGAGCGCTAGGGCTGACCGGGATGGCGACAAAGATGCTGTCGGTGGCGACGAGGGTGGTCGATGTGCGGTACATTTTCGGGAACATATCACACATGTCGAAGAACCACATCTGAATAACATGTAGTCGTATCCCTTCAGATACCCAGAAGACCCACCTTGAGCATAATATTGCACACGACGTACGCGTGTTAATTGCACGATTACAAGCAATGCATACGAGACCGCCGGCTGGGATATCCTTGACTTGTTCCAAGGACGTCGATGTCTGCTTCGACGACAGCAACGATATCCGCCGTCTTTTGTTCATAGTACAGGAAGAGGAGTGGTATGGCTACTGCCACGATGTCGCGATTCAGAATCTAAATGCAAAAAGATCCATCATGGTTGCCGTAAATTTGCCGGCCCGATTTATGGCTTTTGCCAAATAAAGTACAACAATAAATCAGTGTGCATTATTGGACTTGCTCTCCAATCCTTGCCTTGGTGGACCTTTCCAGGTTTTGAAATGTTTAAATCCTCTAATAGGTCTTACTCGAAGCGATGCAAAGTTATGGCGTCACGGTCTTGCCCAATGCGCTACACGCACCACGTGACATAGGCACGAATGTCGGACCGCTGCGGAAAGCCGGGCCGCTGACTTACCAACCTGTCATCTGGACCACTGGGTATCTTTCTGTTTTCTTTATGTTTTTCCTCGCCAAGGTTGCTGTACTGGGCTTGTCCTTGCCATTACTTGTAAGGGCGATTTCTCCGCTCTTCGCTGTGCAGAACGATGCGTACGACGCCGGACTTTTCACCCCACTGGAGGATTTGGACCTGCTCTCTTATTCAAAGTTCACTGCCTTGAGTCATCCGGCTTTTCCGAATTACAACGTCAGAATCAAGAAGACTGCCTTTTGCGATGATACTGTTGCGTGCGTCTTGCTAGATACTCTATCTCATCGCGTCGTCTGAGGGACTGTACTAGGGCTTATACGGGATACATCGACATTGAAGCAAGGCATCTCTTCTTCTATTTCTTTGAGAGCAGGAATGACCCGGATACCGACGATGTCATCTTCTGGACGAACGGAGGTACGCGCCCGTCGCTTGGTTCGATTTGTGGACACCATGATACAACTTTTACCCAGGACCTGGTGGCTCTTCAATGCTAGGGTTGTTCATGGAGCTTGGCCCTTGCCGGATTATCGATGATAGAGGACCTATCTTTCACAAAGAGTCCTGGAATTCTAATGCCAACGTCTTTTTCATCGACCAGCCTATTGGTGTAGGCTTTTCTTACGCTGACTATGGCGAAACCGTCGTGAGCAAGTTTAGGATTCTAACATAATCATTACTCACCTTCTCAAGCGCAACACTGAAGAAGCCGCCAAAGATATCGCATCCTTTGTGGCCATCTTCTTCGAGCACTTTACCAAGTTTAAAGGTCGCGGCTTTCACATGGCTGGGGAATCTTATGGCGTAGGGAAATCTTCCTATTTTCTACTTCAAATCTCTGACCTTCGTAGGGACGTTACTTACCGCTCTTCGCTTCTGCGGTGTATGACCAAAATGCATACCTAATCGATGCTGGCCTTACACCAGTCAACTTGTCTTCGGTCATGATTGGTACGTATTTTGAATGTCCATCAGAATAGCAGTTTGAACGCGCTATTAGGAAACGGGTTAACTGAATTCGCTTCCATGACCTTATCCTATTACGACATCGCGTGTACTGCTGCTTCTGTTCCCCCGGTTCTGAATATCTCGTGTGTTTCCCGTGCCTTTCATTCTCAACGTACCCTGACTATCACTCTTAAGAACATGCATTCGCATGAAACAAGTGGTCAGTGGTTTCCACAAATCTTATCTTGTTCGCGTCGTTGATACCGTTCTCCCCAGCTCCCTCGATGCCAGAAGTGGATGAAAGCCGCCTGCATTGACCAGTTTGACAACATCAACTGTGATGCTGCAGTCAGTTTCTGCAATAGTGAACTATCTGATCCGTACTTCAACACGAGTGCGTCTCCAGTCCCATCGATCCTTGTGCTCCCAAACCTTATCATGCTTAGACAAAAACCCATACGATATGAGCGTCGACTGCGATGGACCTATCCAAGAGACTCTCTGCTACCCCGTAACTCAGTACGCTTCCTTATCATTCCTCTATTTGTTCTTCTGAAGCCTTCCAGGAACATATCCGCATACCTGGACCGGCCCGATGTGCGCACCGACCTAGGTGTCGACCCGCACTTTGACGGACAGAACTTCAGTTCCGTCTCCTGGGAGGTATACAACGCTTTCACAGAAAGTATGGACGAGTACCGCCAGACGCAACTGTATGTTGCAGCCCTGCTGGAGCGCAAGGTGCGGGTCCTCGTGTACGTGGGCAACTATGATTTCATATGTAATTGGGTTGGGAACAATGCGTGGACGTTGGCGCTAGATTGGAGTGGGAAGGAGTCGTTTGTAAATGAGGAGCTAAGGGAGTGGTTCGTTGGGGAGAAGACGGCTGGTTTGACGAGGAGCAGCCAGGGTTTGACGTTTGCTACGATTGAAGGGGCCGGCCATATGGTGGGTCTCTCGCATTTGGGTCATTGTGATATTCTAACATATATCAGGTACCTTATGACAAACCCCAGGAAGCTCTAGAACTTGTCAATCGGTGGTTAGAGGGACAGACCTTATAGTTTATAGATCGCATTGACTCGTCTCTAAATTGATACCTCAATTATTGGTGTGTAACTTTATCTCTATATGCAAATGCCGGTGCCCGGATCGGAATATATGTTACGAACATGAAGAACTGATGAACATTAGAATGTTATCATCATCCACCATGGGATCGCTGGAGAATCCGTTTACTAGTTGAATTCTTCCTGTATCTGTACGACAAAATCAAAGCGATGACTAGAAAGTCCTAACGCTGAAACATACCCATGGTCCGCCTTCATCATAACGCTTGGGTGGCCGCTCCCAAAATGTTATCTTCTCTAAAGCCTCCTCGTTTTTGATGGGGAAAACGATGCCAATCTCGTAATTCTTTATCTATACATTTCATAAACAGGTTAGTCTTAAGTTTAAATATACACGAAACTTACATTGAGGACCGGTCTAAAAGCACTCCCAGAAAGAGTTCCCCAAGCCGAAGGGGTGAAATTATGCGATCCTAGGTAGCCCCATCCTATCGGAGCGTCTATCTCTTCGATGTCACTATCCTCGGTCTCAGAGTCATCGACATCAATAGGTTTATCAGATAGTAGACCAATGATCATCTGCGAAGATGATATCAGATCAGGTCCTGCAGATACGTTTTACTTTACCTTGGTATGCATCAAGACTTTTCCTGCGCGACTTTTCGAATCATAGAACTTGTCCCTTGGGAAGTTCTTGCCACTCCATTGGGCTTTTCGGCAAAATATCGTACCGCCGCCTTGCACACCGAGGGCGCTCTCCTGCACAGTCTTCTTGCTTGGAAATATGATCTTGAGTGGGGGATAGGGAAGCTTGGAGCGTTTAGCTTTAGAATCGTCGAGGTAATCTTGGGGGCTCTCCCCTCGCGCTGAGTGGAAGAATTCGTTGACCCACTGGGTGGTGTATGTTCCGATAGAAGAGCCCTATAAAATGTGAGATCGCGCGAATCCTTACACTAAACACTTGCCTGGTATTCCACCTCCAGTTTTCTCGCAGCCTTGCCCTTCTTGGTTCGAAGACCGAGATTCCTTATAGCCATCATGAGTCTCGTGTGACCCGTCCTATACATGGCACGTATTAAGAATTTAGAATCAAAAAGGGTGGGCAACGCCTACAAGGTGACCTCTGGCCAACCGTCATGTTTCCCGGCAAGCGATGGAACCAAATGCACTTTGACCTTTCCAAAGTCCCATCGCGAACGTAAATCCTCAATTTTGCGAAGGGGAAGGTTGGGATGCTAACAGAGAGTCAGGGCAACGTCGTGAACGACATGCATAACCTACCTCCTGTAACATCAGCTCTAGTGGCCGCCTTACATTGACTCTGTGCAGTACCCTTTGCATTATAGCCGGAAAGTCATTCGCTTTGGGGTCGTTCGCAATCGGAGTTCCACGAGGAGGTATATCTTGTAGCCATACCACCTGTGATATAGTTCAAAGTGACACGAAGGCAATCTAAACACAAAACCGTACATTTTCAATGTCTCTGTAGTCAAATGGGACCAGATTCGCTGAGGAGATAACCACGCGTAGCCTACCCGTCTTGTAAAATATCTGCTTTTATTGAATCTCACGTATACTGGTCGTTCAGAAAAACACTCACAATCATAAACTACAGGTGATCGTGGTCAGAAAATGAATGTATACGAGGGATACGACACAAACCTTCATATGCATGCATCCGTAGGGCCCGATAAGCTTGGGCACCGTCTTAATCCAATTTGGAAGAATATTTCGCATCCCCTCTGATTCCCCGTGGGCGACAAAGATCACTGGGACCTCGCGTTCAAAAAATTGGTAGATCCAGGGTATGTCATGAGCGTAAGTGGACAAAATGGCAAAAGATATGTCAGATTTCTACGAAAGCATCTCCTATGTCAGCGTCTAATATGAGGGGGAAAAGAAATTCATACTGGGCCCAAGATTTCTGTTAATCGGAATGTGGCTTTTCTATCCTGCCGAGGCTCTGCGAATCGCGTCGCCGTTGGCCGAATTTCACCTTCGAAGAAGAGCTGATCTGTAAGCGGTATAGGTGCGGATGAGGAGGTCTTCGTATTCTGAGACGTTGAAGGCTCCACAATCTGTATCTCATCATCATCGTCATTCTTTGGCGCCTTTCCCTTCCCAGTGGCTTGCAGATAGCGCTGCTGGCGCTCCCGACGTTCTTTCTCTAGTTGCGCTCTTTCTGAAAGAAAGGAGGATTGAGGAGCCACTACTTCCCGAGTCTTCGGAGGCTCTGCCCGGGGCGCTTTCGTCCCCTGGTGTACCTGCTCATCGTCTTCGTCATCCGAGCTGATCACGATAGTCTCAAGAAAATGCGAAGGTTTGGCTTTGCCTGTTGATTCTTGAAGACTGAGCGCAATGGCTCTTTGTATCTGGTCGTCAAAATTCATGCCGATGATAGTGGTTCAGGAGAAAGAGATTTAATTGGCCACTTGCTGTGACGCGCTTGAAGTCCTGCGCGAGCATCACGTGGGTCGAAGTTTTCCGTTCTTGGGTTCCGAACCTTCTCTAGCCTTGTCTTTTTGCTCTGTAGTGCCAGCGAAGTCGATGGAAGGATAAAGCCAAGCGCCGATTTCGACTAGCTCGAAGAAGGCGCTATAAACTGCTGAAACATTTTAGCCTGTAATTTTGGCAATAAGTGTATCAAAGTCGGTGCCATGATAGCACGAAAACCATAGTAACCCTTCAAGGTTTTCTTACGAAATGACTTGGTCCGATATCAATACATATGGTATTAACGTTTTAACACTCATCGACACTGCTAGTGACGATTGGACAGCCCACAATCCTCGCCGTTTCATGTGCTGATGGACCTAATCAAATTGATTTCCCACTAACGCAAATCCGGCACAATAGTAACTTGTTGTCTTCCGTTTCCATCCCAGCACGAGGCGTCTCTAAGAATGGGGCCTTTTCTATTTTCTTGTCAGCGGAGGATCTATCTTATTATCTGACGGGTCCTAACATGAAGGCGATACTAGAAGAACCTCCGCTTGGCCCAATGGTCGCAATGTTATTGTCGCTCGTGTTACAGCCCTATCGGATACAAAAGCCAGTGTCCTTCGAAGCCATCGACTTTACGTGCACATATAATGCTGTCAAGAATCATCGGCATGGAACAACAGTGTCCCAAGGTAATTAATCTGCGTCGTAATGCCTCGGTATACGGCTGACCTACTATTCTTTCAGACAGAATCACACACCAAAAGAATGGAACATCTACCATACAATCCTCCAGTTTTTCCTAGTCAAGATCTCTCGTCAGGTGTTGCTGTTCCACCACCTAAGCATCGCCAGACTCGGAAGGATCACCACAGCCGCGCCGAGCGATACCAGCTCGAAAGCCACCTTCTCACTGCTCAGATTGAGGCTTTGCAATCTCATATAACCGCATACATCGCAAACAAGCCTCCCGGTGACCTGAGGTACACCCCGAACCCGCTAGCTGTTGTCGCGGCTCGACGTTGCAAGGAACGGCAGGAGGTGAAACCATCTCGGGTTCTTGTGAAAGAGGTTCGAAAACTGAGGATGAAAAGGGAAGAACTGTTAGCTGCGAGGGAACAGATGAAGACTGAATACGAAGAACGCCAACGCTCAAGACAAATTGGACATCCATCTCTCGGCCCCCTCTAGGAAGGATAGACCTGTCCCTATATGATCAAAATTCTGGTATGTTTCCTCGACTCTTGCATCAGGTGATGCTTATCGGCAGCTACAGATTCCCTCGTAACGGTGTTGGCGCAGCCATTCTTGCCTCGCCTTGGGAATCCCTCCTGAATATCTGAGTCGCATGTGACTGATTATTTACCAGCATGTGATATATAATGCATGCCAGCTTATGGACCTATAGCAAAGCGAGTGAGATGCATTAAGTGATTATAGATGTCCGGACATCAGCAAGAATCTAGAGAAGATATAAGTACAAACGTCCACAGCAGCCCCTCAATCCAGCCGACCAGCCTTGTCTCGATAATGGCGGTCATCTGGAAGATCCGACAAAACCCACTTCCTCACAGCTAAGATAACAGCGACGAACCCTAAACCAACGAAGAAGATCGTTCGGAGTGGATTGTCTATTACATAGCCTTCGATGGCTACTGCCTTGCCATTTAGATACTGCTCAAAAGCGTCAGCATTCCTTTTATATATGTAGAACAGGAAGAGCATACCCTCGCTAGTCGTTCCACAAGATTCTCAGAATGTAGGGGTGTGATCTTGCCCCGCGCAGCTCCTTCGATGGCTGAAAACATCCCCTTCTCATTCGACAAATTAATGGGCTTTCCCTCGGTGTCGACGTTCCAATAGATCAACGCATGATGATCAGCAATAACCACCTCGACGTCCATCTAAGGTCTTACTCCGAACCTTCATTCCATACATACTCTTCATCCAGTCCTTCCACCGTTCGATATCCATCCATGCAAACACGACCTCTCGGCTTACACTGCTCTTTGAGCGGAAAGACGTGGAGATCTCTTCAAACCTCTGTTTTACGAGATTTTTGTTCTCTGCAGAAACACCCGCGAGAACGACAAGTGGGTGCGAGGGTGTTTTCATGATCGATTGGAAGGTATCTTGCGTCAGCTCTGATGTCGATGGTAGTCTGTTGGCTAGGAGCCACGGGAGAACGTCGTTAACGTCCATAGAGGTGTATACAGACGTCGGTGTGACAGAGTCATGGTCTTTGAACGCGATGAGAGACCAGGCCGCTGAGGCCGGGATGGAATAGCGAGCAGTCAGAGATTCAGGGGCGTTGGCGATGGTGTAGACGGTAGGGGAGCCAAGAAGAGTAGTGAAGGTCGGGGACAGGTAGGTCACGATATTATCATCTGTATGAAGTAGGACGTAGATGATGTCGTCCTCGGTGATATAATGCTCAAGATCTTGTGGGTCAATGGCCTTCATGGCCCTGAAACAATAGTCAATGTGGTAAAACGGGGTATGGAGATGTCACTGACGGGGCACTGGCCTTCTCAGCAAAGGCAGTAAGCTGCTCAAGTTTTCGTCCACTGGTATATTCGTTCTTCGTACCGGTGATAGAATAGTACATCAGTGATGGGTATCCTTGTACTTCCTGGGAGGTGCATAACGCTTTGTGATCCTCGCAGTTGACTTCGGCAATGGTCAATTTATTCTGCATTTGTTTTGCTAGCTTCTTCCATGTTGGAGCAAGTTTTTTGCAATGACCACACCTTCAAACAACCATTAGACGAGCTATTCAACATGAGACATCATTACACACCATGGCGCGAAAAACTTGACGAAAGCGGGACCCTCGGAGAGTGTAGTTACAAATGTCTTGTCATCCAGCGATAAAACAACTCCATTCGGGTTCGGCAGCTTCTCAACCATAGGCTGTTGCTGTTGCTGAAGGGGCGGCGGTGGTGGTGGCTCATGTTTCTTGATGAACGGCACCAAAAGGTCGAGCTCTCTGGGTCCCTTGAAAGGCTCAACAAGCTTCCCATCCTTGTACAAATTTAATGTAGGGTATCCTTTGACGTCGTTTGCTGAACAGAGATCTACAGTCACAATTAGTAATGCACGGCAATCGAGAGCACCTCAACGCACCTCCATTTACTGCACAGTTGACCTGTGCAAGCTTCACACCTGGCACTTCCTCTACACTTATCGTCACAAGTTGGTCCCAGGTCGGAGCGAAATGTTTGCAATGACCACAGTAGGGAGAAAAATACTCGATGAACCAGACGCCACTGGCAATGGTCGTCTCGAAATTATCGGGTGTCAGTACCGACGTCTTGACAGGTACTGCGCTGCATGTCAGGGCCAGCGACGTGAGGAGCAGCGACCGAGGTAGGCCGTGAAACAGTCGCCCGAATTTCATGGTGGTGGAAGGAGCGAAGTAACGTGATTGCCGCTTTGATGGACATCTTCACCTTCAGCCACCTCCATCGCAATCAAGTCGCCCACGTCGCGCTATATTCTCCCGTCAATAATGCCAGCGACATTAGGAATAGAATTGTGGCCGCTGCCAGAGCAGATGGTCACGAAGGTGAGAAGGAACGAGATGAGATGAATTTTGCCTTTGTCGATGCGACACTGGTCAGTATCGTTTCATACTTCACCAGTTTGTTTGACGATAATGTTGTTAGATTACAAGCCGGCTTCACCTAGAAACTGCGATATACCAAGCAATCCTTACGGAATCTCAGGGATCATTGCGGACGAAAACCGTACATTCCGAGATTCTGTGGGCACTTAATCCAACCAATAATGTGTGTTATATACGCTATGGGACAGAACAAAAGCTCATAAATGTACAGATAACAGAAGCCATTCGTCGATATGGCGTTTCAGACAAGACTACCTCAATTCTTGTCATTCATATATCCGATGCTGGGCTGTCTTCATCGATAGTACAAGAGAAACTCGCTCGTGTGGTGGATGGAACACTGTTGCCATTGGCCTCCCTTCAGGATTTCACCGATTGGGCCAGGATCAAGAAAGTAAGCTGTTCTCAACGTTGTCCGTGTGGTAGACATTCAAGATCAAAATCCATCAGTATTACAAACTGGATCAGGAGAAAGCCCTGATCGCGACAAGAGACGACCTCTCGAAACAGCATGCTGTCATCGACAACATCGTCGTGAGCTCAGTTGCAATGAAGAGTGTCATGGGATGACCATTCCGTCTGCTACGCCTATAAAGTGTGATTGTTGCTCAGAAAGCTTCATCAGTTCTGAACCCCGGCCTTCGAGCGCGCTTGCAACCACCGTCTACCGTTGAGGGACCTTCCACCGAGCATTGTTCTTCTGTTAATGGTCTTTGTTTCCCACTTAGGGTGGTCCGATACCTCCTCGAGGCTCGTAGTCGATTAAAGCCAGATCTATATTCTTGTAGTCTGTTAACGAGTCCTTGTTCTTTGAGCGTCTGTACCGTCTACGAAAATAGGAAATCTTGCCATCGGTGGTCCTTCTATGATCCAGATTCTAGCCACGCCCTTTGTTTGTCACCAAAAACCGGACTTAAGATGTTATCATCTGTGCCTATAAATGTCACACCTTGAATAAAAGCCTCCATCAACCTTTATCTCAACCATCTATATGTCACCGCAGCCACTCACTGCTGAAGCCCTGGAGGCTCACAACTTTCGATATGCAGTTCAATCCGCACTTCAAAGCTACGAGGCGAGTCTCTCGATGTTCTTCTGCAATCCTTTACTGAACCTGCATGTAGAAACAAGTCACCCAATGGAAAGAATGCGGATCGTCAAAGACAGACATTGTAACTATCCGTTGCGACGGCTGTAAACATCGTTTCCAGGCACCAGAAATAATGAAGATGAATTTACTATGCCCTAGTTGCATGTGCCATGAGGCGGATTCTTTGATGAATACACGGATGAAAAACTCGGTGAGCCACTCATTCGTCATAGAATTCAGTCTAACTCGTATCTCGCAGCGTGATGAAAACGACTATTCGCCTTGGCATAGCACTTGCCCTTGCAAGCGACCCCTGCGCTCCTTTGTTCTTTGCACTTGCACGTCACCTTGCCTAAATGACCCTTATTTGAGGGCCGAAGGATACGATCGATTAATTGCTAAATATCACAAAGCCCTGAGCCTTCTCGAGGACTCCCGATATCAGCTCTATTGTTTCCTCTCTTTTCAGCCACTTCCCGAAAGACATGAGAAATATTTATCGTCCGGAAACGAGTCGTTCATCGAGAAGCAGTGGCCGGGTCTTCCTGATTCGGTCAACATGGAAGCGACGGAGATTAGTTGGGATGACTACCAGTTCATGCAGAGAGCCCTTCGAAATGTGATTGGGGAACTGTATACTTTGGAGCAAATGAAGTTCAAAGCTATTTCGCAGACGTTTATGAGACACTTTCCAAAGGAATTACAACGATCCTTTGGTAATGACGCTCTGATTCCTAGCCCGCTTTTGAACCATCGAGACATGGCTCTAAGTATATGGACACGATCTCGAAACGAAGGAGACTGGTGGTGTTCTGCGAAGGTGCGTCAGTCATATCCAGACTGTTCAACAACTGAACTCTTGTATAGAATAAATATCTTTCACCTCCGGACAGTTTCAGGGAGTATTGCGACCGTGAACATCCTGAACCAACCGAAAACTGGTATTTCGAGATTTGGGTCTGCTTTCCCGTATCCAGTAAGAATCCACGTTTACTAAAACAATCGAACAGCGTCGATACAAGGATTTTGAAGGTAGCCAAGACGTAGCGCAGGGGCGTGCGCCATTATTGTTGGTCACGAATGGTGGCTCTCAGACAAGCGAAGAAGTAACGGTACGTTCAGTTACGGGTTCTCTATGGGTCGCAATTGATCATCCATCTCTGGAATAGCTCCCCAGTAAACGCACAAAGAGGCCCCGCAAGCGCCAACGATTGCCATCACAGACGACTACAATTACAAAAATGATCCTCGATATTTTATGATGATGTACAACTCCTCTTTGATGTAGTTACAGAAAGACAGCTGTAAGTGATTTAATGGTTGAATTATTGGTGTAAGCTCATACTTTGACACGCAAGACTCTCGTGGGTCCTTGCATATAGTCGCCTGTTCCAGCTTTCTACCGTGCCACAGCAACCAAAGCAGCTGGTTTCTCAGCTTGCTAGTTGGAAACTACTGCGTATCCCGTAAGATCTAAAGGGCTATCATAATTAATGTATGTATGAATTTTAATGTGAATATACTTGGTCCTGCAGTCGAATACACTATCGATTTCTTAGAAGGTATCTAGTCAGGCATAAGTCAAACGGAACCACTTAATTCGTTTCCTCGACTAAGAAAACCGTCTGGGGTATGTTACAAAGTGTCAATTGTCGGTAGAAATCCAGTATTCTCTATAAGAGCAGAAAGGAGTATCTACACTCCGTCACATCGACCCAGTTGACCTGGTAATTATGAATCAAGTAGAGAGTGGCTGGGGCCAACTTAATGAGCACACGTCAAAGAAAGTAAGCACTTCGGACGTACAGCCAACAACTTCACGTGGATCGGCATTTGAGCATCTCCTTCTACGAATGACTGGAGGTTTCCAATGAAAAAGCTCTGGACATGATGTGGAGTACTCGTCAGTTCGAAATGGCGGATCATAAGGCAGATAATGATCTTGAACTCCAAGAGGGCTAAAGATAATGATGATATTAGAAACTACTTGTGCGGTGAGACCGAAAATAATAATACCGAGCCGCCATCCAATACAACTACGCGGTCCGTCCAAGAAGGATGCGACGTTTCCGTATGGCCCAGATGGTAATTGAGCAGTTGAAGGTACGCCGTCAGGACGAAGCCATCGCTCTGGTTTAAACTCGGCAGCATCCTCACCCCATACATTGGGGTCCGTATTTTGAACCACACTAGGTATCTGGAAGACCTGGTGATTGTTCAAACGTTCAAGTGCAATAATCAAATTAAGTGAAGAAGACAGACCTGTCCGGCTTTGATAGCGATCGAAGACACTACATTCCCATCAGTCGTTGTTAGTGGTTGGCTCAGAGGGAGGACATCGTCTTCTAGGGCAATGCGATCAGTCCGTGGCCCAGCCGGATGAAGACGCAACCTAAGCACGATTCATGAGTACACGATCCTCGAAAATCTTGATGTACTATTACACTTACCCCTCCCGGCATACAACGTCAAGGTAGGGCAGGCTTTGAATGTGGTCGTAACTAAAATCACTCAAGTCATGGATTTCTTGCCGTAGTCTTTTTGGACTTCGGGTCACGAGCGAGATGGAATAGAGTGAAGCTGACAGTGCAGGATGTTGTTTCATGTCCAACCATTCTATGAGAAAGGGTAAATGAGGAGAGAAAAAGTAGGATACCGCCGGCAGGACTTACATAAGTGTTGCTATCTGAATATAATCAGTACGAATATGTATGCAGGAAGTGTAGAACATACATTTTCCAGTAGTGCTTTTTGCGACAGACGATCACCGGCGTGCTTCGAATGTTTCTGGTCCCTGATCAAAATTGAGAGAATATCTTTACCATCTCCGTTTTCCAGATGCGCATGGTTCTGTCGTAGAAACTCTCTAGCTAGCTTAAGAGCCGCCTGCTTCGCAACTCCGTCCGTCTTGAAAGCCGGATACTTGCTGATCCAAGGGAAAGTAGACATCATGATTGGCAACAGGAATCCGGGCATAGTTCTCCCAAACAAGACATCCTTGTGCCATGACTCAGCGATGTCTTTTGCTTCCTGGGATTCACCGCTACGAAAATCGTGTCCAAATGCTACACGGCCGATAATATCCAGCCTATTATAGGTCAACAAGGTGATTGCAACTGGTGAACGGAAAACCACTGACGTGCATGCAGACAGGAAGGGAGTAATATTTATCGTGGTTTCGCCCCCTCGCGATCCGACATATGTTCCCGCTCGTTGTATGAACTGTTGCAATAGATGAGACTGTTGATACTGAAAGATTTGAGAGATGACGATCTACCCTCTGGGTGCATTCGACAACATCATCAGACATCCCTTTCACAGCACCGAGACTGAAAGACGTATAAGTTTGACGCGGACGTATCAACAGACTCTAGACTGACGTGAAGGCCGGCGCGAGAAGTCTGCGTTGGCGTCTATGTTCGTCGCCTGAAACATATACTATACCTTTTCCGAGTTGACTTTCCACTATGGGTAGGAACTCGGGCGCCTTGGCTGTCATGATAAACAGGCATGAGCGGAGGAAGACAAGTATCGGAGGTTACGAACGATATCGGTAAGTATTTGCGTGAATGTGATGCACGGCAAAGTTATCTGTAGCAACAATCTACAGTATCGTTGAGCTAAAATAGAAATAACAAGCGCAAGATACTTATACTTACTATGTCGCGTTTGAAGAATGCCGCCTTAATTCTATACACAGGTCCTAGAACCATAGCCCACTTGGAGTACATTTTGCCAATTTCATTTTGCCATTCGGTGTATTCGTGGCCCCAGAGCCAGTGTGCATCAGACCTGGGCTGAAACAAAGTCAATATATTCCAGAGAAAAGTCGATATGACTAAGCCCCTCACCGCGCATTGAATTTTCCTGGCAGGATCTTTTCGGTGCTGGATATAACGGACGAAAAACACAAATAGCAGAGCTAAAGAAACAGACAGTGTCGCTTCAACCGACAGCATTGCTGATTTCAAAAGAGAATGCCGTTGAAGAAAAGTAGATGATAAGGGGGAAAAGCCTGTACTTATACCATCTCTACCTTAGTGATCATTGTCATAGCCGTTCACGTATTGGGTGCTTCAGGCCCCGTGGAGGAAGGAATGATTCAATGATAGAAGTTTTCTTGCTTCTTTAAGTAATCGAAACGGTCCGATTACACCATCGTGCAATGCTAATATCGCAGAGGGATGAGCCTATGAAGAACGTATACAATCTTAGTGAAACTAGCGAATGCTGATCGAAAGGATATTACCAAGGGTGAATATGGCGCTGCACCTACATTCGAGGGAAGGGGCTGGAAGAGTTTCGTAGAGTTTGGAGAACCGGTATATGGTCCCGATAAGGAATGCCGGAGTTCTGTGCGAAACGTCTCGAAGATCGTAACAACTGCGCCGCTGTGATATTCACCGGATGTAAAGTCGGCAGGTTTGATAGTACCACGGGGACCAAGGGAAAGATTCCACTATAGGATGACCCCAAGCAGGAAATGTGTACTACTTATGGTTGGCCATGTGAGTACCAGAGCGTTTGTGGGGCAATATACATCGGCGTGCGCCGACACAACGGCCGCATGGTTCCTACATTCGATGTCAGTATCCAATCACGGTGCCTCAGGGTTAATATACCCGAAGGTCGCATAAGGTCGCTCGCTAGACATGCTCAGAAAATGTGTAAGCAGCAAGACTCGAGCTCGATAACATGGTTTGCCCGTCTTACTAGTCATCCCCACTGAAAGATCTTGCAAAGCTCTTCTGTTCGACGTCAGGTTTCAGTAGCTGGTCATATTTATCTAGATATTTCATTACATGGCCCCCGATACACCTGAAAGAGTGCGAAATGAACCAGATCTAAGTGCAGGAAAATGAGAGGGACTTGATCCTATTCACACCGGGAAGATGGACATTTTTGACAAACCTGAATTTTGAGCACAATTGTAACGTTTTGCGAGCATCGTTTGGGGGTCAACAAACATCGCATTTTGGAGGATCCAAAATCCATGCTGCCCGCCATAGACAAATTTCGGGAGCACGCAAATTTTATGTAAAGTCATTGCCAAGATCGACCTCCCAAAACGTCACCTTATTGTGCACATTCTGCTTTCCCTCAAATTCTCATCTGTCCGGTGTGATTGTACGTATCAGAGACGCAAGAACTCACAATTTGGCAATGAAATCCAGGAAATTTTCATCAAAATCAATATGGAAACCCATCAACTCCAGTCGGGTACGGTGCACATCTTTTAAGCGAAAATCCTTAGGGCAGTCGATCAAGGCTTGGAATGTTGCAGTACGGTGTTTACCATCCTCGAGCATATCGAAGAGAAAAGAGTGATCAAACATTGGGGATGATGACATGTCAAGAATGAGTTTCCTGAGGTGTGGGACTGCTTTTGAGGCTGTCAAGTATGAGAGAAAGGAGGGTAAGACGTCGATTCTGGCGAGACATAATGTCAGTGTCTTCGCCTTTTGTGTCCTTTCGTCCCGAGGACCAGGCTCAGCGGTGGGACAGTGTTCTCTGAGCCACGTTCATTTCAATTATTGCTTCGCCCTCGACATATTCGTTGTCTGGCTGCTCATTAGAGCGCCGAACGCAAAAGGTCTTGCTTTCGCTCCACAGATATTGGCCTGAAGACACAATAAGCAAGAGAAAATAGTGTAAAATAGCTCAATAGTCTCACAGATATGCATATATGCACCTTGCGGAAGCGCTGAAAGGAGTTGAAAAGCAAAGATGTAGACATTGGAGGCAACCCCGAGTCGGGTATTGGCGAGAAGATCGTGGGAATATTCGGACCGGTGCCCCGGAACCGTCGCTTGTTTTGCATTCTTAGGCCCCCAGAAGCTCCCACCAAACTTTGTCCGGATTTTAGCATTTTTGAGCTGGCGCTGACGCCATCGCCATGACATCTGAGCCAATATCAGTCTCGATTTGGATTTATGACTCCTCTCCGCAATATTTTCCTGCAAAATTCCAACGGAAATTCGTAGTCATGTCGAATACAGCTAAAAAAGGTCCTCAGAGCTGACGGATATAGCAGAATCAGACGGCTGGCTCCGTACGGGCCTTCGTCCCGGGAGGCCCGAAGAAGCGACTTTGCCCGAGTTAGCATACTTTGAGCCCCAAAAGTTGCATATTTGAGGACCGATTTTCGGATTTTTGCCGGACAAAGTTTGCTGAGAGCTTCTGGGGGCCTCATTCTTCCCACCCTCCCACGGCTACCATGCACACAGCAGAGGCTGGTTCATTTTAGGTCATAAAAACGAAACTTTAAAAGGTTTTGTTAGCGAAGCCTTTGTCAGTCCCGAAAAGGCCGTCTGTAAAACGGTATGAAAAATCTTTTCTCCCTCTAGAAAGCTCTAGAACAAAAGAATTGAGATAACATTTCGTTTTACAGTACTCAAAACGGAGGCATAAAAACTGAAGCTGCAATAGAAACCTTTTAGAATCCCGTTTTACGCCTTCAAAAACACACCAGCCACTGCAGTGCCATGACCTTTCTCGTGTATTTCGGTTCCGCACAAGCGTAGGCACAAAGCTAGAACTAAGTGTCTGCTAGGTATCTGGGGAGCCTGAGCTCTCTGTCCCGAGCTAGGCCCTGTCAGTCACTTACAATGGACTATCAGAATTTGCGCCGTTTGCGCGCAGCGCGACCATGCTTACTCAGGCTGCAGTTCGGAAAATTGTAATAAATGATCAATGCGATATGGTTGAAAGCTGTGCAACGTACACGCCCCCTAGCATGTCGGATAATACCAAGGTGGCCAAGGATTCTCTACGTAACACCGAGAACGCAGGAAAAATCCTGCAGTTGGGGTGGCCACTGGTTCCTTTCCAGGCTAGCGAACGGAATTCGACCAGAATTATCTTCTTTACGCTGGCAGGACGAACGTAGTTGTATTGCCAATCCTTTTCGCACGTCCATTACCGGAACACTTCAATGTGACGTGGTCCCATGCTCAAGGATAGCCGGTTCTATGCCTGTCATAAGCCTGGATCTCGGATTCGCATTGATTGTCTTCGGATTCGCATCGGAGCGAATCCGAGACGGTATTGTTCGATGGCTTCTTGCCACAGTGTGCGCCTCAACTGTCCCTCCACGCGGGCATATACTTCTTCGCTGGTAAAGAAAATTCTGCCGATTCTTTGTTCTTGCATATATATCTTCTTCCTGACCGACTGGTATGACTTCCAGAGTATGCCCTACTTCGTTCACCGATCTTTGTTTTTCTTCCTTTCTGCTTTATTGGTCTCCGCGACGTCAGCAGCTGTAGAGGTGTCATTACCTCTCTCTGCACCGTCAACCGCGTCGGAAATCTCTTCCAGTCTCCTGTCGTTTTCCATTGAAGGGGATCGATGGATGGATTGGACTGGAACGACTTCCAGGAATCAATTTCTTTACAACGCCTTGGACAACCTGAAAGCTCTGACAGGGGCACCGCCTAACATCAGAATTGGAGCTGACAGCGAGGATCATACTAATTTCAATCCCAACGTCGAGGTAAGAATGCCGCTAGATGATCCGTGAATCTATACTTAGGTCTTTCAAGTTTTCAGAAGCGATATTTCCTGACTTCACTACGGTCGTTCCCTATCCGGAAGCTACAAATCTCACTGTCGGTGACGGCTACTACCAAACGGCCCGCTTCCTTCCGTCTGGTACGACTTCAGTTCTGACAATATAGTAGATATGGTTAATCATACATTTTGTAGGAACACATATAACATGGAGCGTCAATTTTGGGCAGAAAAACCTTACTGCGGCATTTCTGACGGCACGTTCGATTGCGAGTGCATTTTCATCTTCTGCTATGAAGGACGCTGGAGTGACTCTTGACTTTGTGGAGATTGGTAATGAAGCAGACTGGTATATCAACAACGGCGCGCGTCCATCCAACTGGACTTCCGCTGATTATACGCAAGAGTAAGCGTCTGGAATGATTCCCGTGGTTATCTGTATCTTAATGATTGCATGACTTAGGTGGACTGAGTTCGCTAAGAACATTTCTAAGACTGTAGGAATCTCATCGACCTCTCATACGAAATTTTTCGTTGGTAGTTTTGTGGCATCGACCCATTCAACCATCGGCTTTTCGCCCCAGGCTATCTACGCTGAGGGGATACTTGACTCTGAGCCAGGCGCTTCCATTGCGATGTAGGTTCTTTCCTCTTGAAAACATCGCGCACGCTACACACGATGTCAAGTTTTTCGCAGCACGGATATGCAGGCGCCTTCATCGAAGGCATGGATGGTCTCCTACAGGACCTGATGACGAAGGCAAATATCCGTGGCAACCTTTCAGCCTTGACCCCAGACATCGAAGAAACACACAACCGAGGCCTGAATTACGTCCTTGGAGAAACCAATAGCTATGCCAATCATGTATGCTTGGACTCTCCTTTCTTCGCCGGTCTGCCTATTGATTTTACGTGATTTCGAAGGGCGCAATAAACGTTAGCAACACTGCAGGAGCTGCATTATGGTCGTTGGATTACACTCTATTCGCGTAAGTATCGCCTTAAGTTACTTGAATGATGGATTGATTTGTTCGTAGGCAACAGTTGGGAATATCTCGCGTCTTTTTCCACGAAGGTATAGGATACAAATATAACTTTGTACGAACGACTCTTTCAACCCGCTGATAGTGACTTACATTACCCTATCAGATCCAACCTGTCGAATTAACCAGATCCATCCTCGATGGATCTGAGCTCCCGGAACCTGTAGCTCCTCATGTTCAACCTCTTTACTATGCCGCAATCATCATCGGAGAGGCCATAGGTAACTCTGGCCATACTCAAGTAGCAGAGTTGTCAATCGACAACTCTCGTATCTCCGGTTACACCTTTTACGAAGACGGTGTTCTCGCCCGTGCTGTTCTCATTAATTCTCAAGCATATATGAAAGAGCAATCTACCTCCCGTTCGAGTATTCATCTCGACCTCGATTTTTCAGGAGGCGGACAGGTTCCCACGAGTGTTAGGGTCAAAAGGCTCGCCATTGAGTGCGTTATCAGTACTATTCCAGTGTTAATTCTGATCAACAATTCTAGTCATGCTGACGACGATTCGGGGCTAACCTGGGGAGGACAGACGTACGAGACGGACGATGCGCGCGCGCAAGGAGAGCTGGAGATTGAAACTATTCAGGTTACATCCGGATTGGATATGGTTGAAACGGAAGCCGTCCTTCTCTCCTTTGAATTTTGAGGTTGTATGGACTCCGGAGTCAAGCGTAGATATTATTGATAAAAATGAATTTCGGCCACGATAAGCGCCGCTACTATACATCTGATTTGCCTTCCATGCAAGATGGTAGCGCTGCATTGGCTGCATCCTTCTGGGATTCGCGTTCCCCAAACACGTAACTTCAAAGGGGTATAGCACGGTAAGACTCCATCTCTCGGGAGTCCTTCTGTCGCATTTTATCGATACTCCTGCGTAGCCATGCCACTGTACGGTATATTCGGTAGCTATCACACGACCACCGAAGAAATCGAGTCATCTTGGTAGGAGAAGGTTCGCGCAGGTAACCCCATTTCCGCACAAAATCATCCGGAAGACCAGCCCAACGATCGTATTCGTCCCAGGACATTCCCTCCCATTCTAGGTCGTACGGAAGTGATTGACTACTCGATATGAACTCTTTCCAGTTGTCGGATAAAAATTCAAGAGCTTGAGCGGCCGTAAAGCGGCGTGAGATGTCGTCTGTAACCATACTATCGAATAACGGCGCAAGCATTGGTATGTACTTAGTGAGGTGCTGAATTACGACCAAGACGCATAAGTTGAAGAAAGCCTGCATGGGTTGAAACGCCATACCTGAAATTCTAGACAGAATACGATTCCCAAAAGTGCGACGTCGTACGCGAAAGGATCATACATATACTCTCCTTGCGCAGCGTCATGAGGCCAAGGACCCACAGTGATCCAAGTGTAACTAGCGGGAAGTAGACGGACGTTTTCTGGCATATGTATCGACAAGTCGAAGTCGAACATGGCGTATTTGATGAGTCCATGTTCACGAAGGCCTTGTCTATACCCAATAGCAGCGGCCGCTCTTGACGGGTGAGCCTCGATATGATTGACGAGACTGTTGAGTAGCGTGATATCCTACACAACAAATTTTGGATACCGTTTGACTGAAAAAGATGATGGATGTGTACCCGGTGAACGATGGAGTTGGCGTGAAGGTATATCAGCGCCTGCAGAAGTATTGTACTATTGGGCAAAGGCCAAACGGGTCATTAGACCAATCTTACCTTTAACAAACATAACATATAGTGCAAGATATCCTCTACGCGATGCAAAGGTGGATTACGGGATGCAGAGCCCCACCTATAGTAGGATAGGAGACCGTCAGAAACGTGGGCTAAAAGGAACGGCTTACCGAGGCATAACAACGAGCCAATTTTCTTTGTGTTCAATGAGTTCGAGAACGGGCATGATACAATTTTCTTCCATAGCTTGAAAGCCTTGCGATTGAAGAAACCGCAAGATCCTATATTCTTGGGAATTGCCGCAGACGTGCTTCAGAACAACATGGCGTCCTTCACTGTCCTGGGCATAGAATACCATGGACTGGTCTTTGTGTGAGTATATAACACGTATAAAAAAATGTATATAAGACGGACCCTATTACAAGCACCCATAAAAGGGTCGCGCGGCGAGTCTATGAGCGCATTAGCTTCACGATATGCGTAGGGATATTGGACAGGTCCAGAGAAGCTCGGGAGTGTAGGGACGGATATATATTCATGACAGGGTCCAGAGGCTGGCTTGTAGAGATGATAACCACGGGAGAGAAGTAACGCCCGACATGAATCCCAAAACACCATTTGCTGGTCCATCGAGAGGCCTCGAAATGCGAAATACTTTTTGCCGTACATTTTCTCGTATTCACGAGGTTCAAAAGGACGACTTGGTCTGCAGAGGAGATTGCGCATCATGGTAGCTGGATGAAGTGTACAATGTCTCGCATACGTTCACGAACGAAGCGAAGTAGCCTGAGACCCGGGGCGGGGGTAAACCCGTCTGCCCACCAATGTTGGCCATTTTAAAGCTCCGATTCAATTTCTATAGGGAGCGATCCGCATCCTCCACCCAAAAGTTCAGCACTTTCGAGGCCGTTACTCTCTTCTCAAAGTCCACAGGACCTCTAATGCAACTTAGATGTGATCCAATAACGTATATGCTCGACCCTCTGACAATTCCGAGTGAGCCGACGGCCAATAAAAACATTCGCCAGCAGTCAGGTGACCCCCGCCCCGGGTACCAGGCTTTATTATATACTCGCGGAACTCGTATCTGTATATAAAGCCTGGTACCCGGGGCGGGGGTCCATAGAGGAACCCCCAAATCTCAATGGATTTCAAACTCAGCGGTGATCCAGATGTCTGGCTCACTAACAGACTCCTTCCCATTCTCCTTCGTGGGGGGTAAAAGCTGCTTCGCAGCTGGAGGATAATTGAACGCTTACATATTATCTTATCTTATCTCTCACGTGATGTTTTGATCTTTCTGAACCTTATTTTTTTTTACCCCCCACTACGGAGACTGGCAACAAACCGGGTGGCGCGTTGGTCGTGTTTGGCTGCTCCCTCCAGCTTGCCCCCCTGCTGAATGCTCAACACCCATCGAAGGCTGCCTTTATGAGCCGCATATGTCACATCATGCCTGAAAAGGCTGAAGAAGTCCAGGCGAAGCGCTATGCAGGCAAAGGCGAAGATAAATGAACTCAGAAGACCATGGAGGATGGAGTAGGGTGCAAGTGTAGGTGGGAGTAGCAGATAAAATATTATAGCGTTGGTAATACAGATATCTCATTTACACATACAGCGAGGAGCAACACATGCCATGAACAAGGCGAAATTGAGGAACAAACGAGGCTTTCAGACTTGTGGAAGGGGGCAAGCTGGAGGGAGCAGCCAAACACGATCAACGTGCCACCCGGTTTGTTGCCAGTCTCCATAGTGGGGGGTAAAAAAAAAATAAGGTTCAGAAAGATCAAAACATCACGTGAGAGATAAGATAAGATAATATGTAAGCGTTCAATTATCCTCCAGCTGCGACTAGCGGTCGTCGGTCGACAACTATCATACCTTGCTTAAGCGGTGTTCATCCCCATCCCAAATTTGTAGAATCCAATTTATGTGAGGCATACTTTGAAAATAATCATACACCGCCATAATCATACATACATGCCTTTGTAACACACTAACTTGGATTGAACAATGTTTGCCTCTAAACTGTCACTCACGTTCGATGATTCAGTTGTGAAGAGGGCGTTGCAATCGCTAGGTAAGGTATGATAGTCCTTAAGCATGAAACAGGGAGTTTCTGCGTGAAAAGTTAGGAGTGTATAACTTTAGCCGAAGCTGGGGTGTAAGACCACAGCAAGGCTCGTTTAAATACATTGTGGTATTTACTAGTATGTACCGCTCCTGTGTCTCAGTGCGTGCTGCCCCAATGCAGCGCTGTCTTCTATGTCCTCTGTATCGTATGGTGCTTGGTATAGGAGAAGCCCTCCTGCGAGGAAGAAGACTAGCGTCCATAGGGCGCGGTCTTCTGAGGAGCGTACGTGGCAGCTTGTCCATCCTAGGGTGTGATCACAGATGACCTAAAGAAGCGTGACTGGGTGAAGAAGGATCCAGCCCATAGCGTGTGATCGGTCTATGGGCCATCAACCGGATCATGCGTGTGAGCGGTAGATCATGTGTGGGATTGATTGGGTCATGAATGATGTGGATCAGGTACAAGGAATGATGATGAGAGTAGAATGATGAGTTGATGAGATAAGATAAGATAAGCAAAAAATAGGGGTGATTCATGACATTACCCCCCAACTAAGACTCGGTCATCCCGACTGAGTCAGTATCAGACTCGTCTTCCGATTCGATGTTGGATAGAGGCGATAATGATCGTTGGGATGTGGTTGTGCAAGCTGGACCCAGGGAATCCAGGAAGAAAATTGAGTTATCCGTTGCTGATGTCGCGATGGATTCATTGTCGTCGTTTTCTTCTTTGTATATCACTGCCAAGTGTTGCTCATATTCGAGCACTAGTTCTTCTGCATTTGCTAGTTGGCTGCGTGGTACCCACGTGGCTTCTTCGATTGGGTATCCCTTCCATTTGACAAGGTATTCGGTAATGTGTTTTCTGCGTTTTCCTTGTCGTACGGCTATTTCTCTGTCCTGTAGGAGTTCTTCTATTTCATATTCTTCTTGTCCTTCGATCAATTCGGGAGGAGGAGGTTCCGGTAGTTCTTGGTTCGGGAACTCCGGTGGAATGTATGGAGTCAGGTAGACTTCATTGAACCGGTTATGGATTTTCCATCCGGCCGGTAGTCGAAGTTGGTATGCTGATGAACCTTTCTTGGTTATTACTTCGAAAGGTCCGACTCGTTTGTTATCCAGCTTTTTCGCTGGTCGTGGTAGGTGCAAGTTGGTGGTGTCTAACCAAACTTTATCTCCTGGCTGGTAGTCTCGGGGTGATTGTTGGTGTCGATCATATGCTTGTTTCATTGTCTCTGCTGCTTTCGTCAAAGCGAGCTTTGCTTGTTCGTGGGTTCGGTGGAGGGTTTCCACCATTGTGGCTACCGAGGGTGTGGTCGTAGCCTTGAGTGCGACGGGTCGTATCTGCCCATCTTGTCCGAATAGGATTTTATATGGGGAGTATCCCGTCGTGCTATGTTTTCGGTTGTTAAGGGTGTAGGCTGCTATGAGTAGCCAGTCACTCCAATCATTTTGTTTGAAATTAACGAAGTTACGCAGGTATTTTTCAAGCTCTTGGTTAACTCGTTCGGTTTGCCTGTCTGTCTGAGGGTGGTATGCAGTGGAAGGATTGCCTTGGATGTTTAGTAAGGCATATAGCTCTCTTGTGTACTTAGACACAAATTGTGGGCCTCGGTCCGAGATTATTTTGGAGGGGGTAACCCCGAATCGACAAATAACTTCGTCTCAGAGGATTTTAGCCCATCCAGTAGAGGCGATTTCCTTCGTGCATGGTACGAAGATATTGTATTTGGAGAATCGGTCAACGATTACCAGGACTGCATTGTAACCTTTGGATTCAGGTAGTCCAGTGATTAGGTCGACCGATATATGTTCCCATGGTCACGTGGGTATTGCATTAGGGTGAAGGGGGGCGGCGCGTTTGCGATGGTCCAGTTTAGTTCTTTGGCAGGCTTCGCATCCCTTCACATATCTTCCTACGTCTCTTGGCAGTTTAGGCCACCAGTAGTCGCGAAGTATTATTTCTTGGGTTTTTGCAATCCCTGGGTGCCCTGCTGTTATATGGTCGTGGGCGTAGGAAATTATTTCCCCTCGTAGTGGGACGTCTTTTGGGATATAAATTCTCCCATCGTAGAATAGAAGGTTTCCCCTTTGTTGGACTCCTTTTTCGTAGCCGAGAGAGTCGGAGATTCCTTTGTCCCATAAGTGGACTTTGTCGGTGGCCTTGGCTATTTTTTGGTGGATGGCCTCTTCTGTGGGCATTATTAAGGCCCTAAAGAGTTCAGGCTTAAGGATGACGATATCATCGTTATCCTTTTTGCCTTGATCGTGGTCGGCCCTTCGGCTAAGTAAATCTGCTTTTTTGTTTGCGGTACCTGGTTTATGGTGAAGAGTGAATTCGTATTCTGCAAGTTCGGTAACCCATCAAGCTTGTCGACGATTTAACTTCTGGGGTTTTCGGAAATACTGGAGATTGGAGTGGTCTGTCCAAATCTCGAATTTCTGTAAGGCACCCATGAGGTAGTGGCGCCAGTCTTCCAGGGCAATCATGATGGCTAGTAATTCTTTGTCGTAAATTTCATAGTTACGTTCTGTGGCGGAAAGTGATTTGGATAGGAATGCAACAGGTCTCCATTTCCCATCGGTCTGTTCTTGTGATAGTACGGCACCAACGGCGCCTTCGCTGGCATCGGCTTCTACTCAGAATTTCCCCTCGTTACTTGGAATGGCAAGAACGACATTTTCTAGAAATTGTCATTTAATGGTTTCGAAGGCGCCTTGTTGCGCTCCTCCCCATGTCCATGCTTCTTTCCCAGTGAGTCGGGTTAGGGGTTTGACGTGGTGACTGTAGTGCCAAATGAACCGTCAGTAAAAATTGGCGAATCCCAAAAATGACTGTAGTTCTTGTTTCTTGGTTGGTCTTGGCCAGTCCAAGATTCCCGCAATTTTGACAGGGTCCATTTTAATGGATCCTTCACTGACAATTACTCCCAGGTACTCGGTTTCTTCTACTTTGAATTCACACTTTTCTGCTTTTAAGAAGAGTTTGTTTGCACGGAGTATTTGCAGAACCTTCCGGACTACAATTCAGTGTTCTGCTTTGGTTTTGGTGGCGATGAGTATGTCATCTAAGTAGACGCTGACTAACCCCTGAGCTATTAAGTCCTTGAAGAGGTCATTCATCATTCATTGGAAGGTCGCGGGCGAGTTGGTGAGTCCAAAGAACATGACAAGGGGTTCATATAGGCCTCGATTGGTGTGGAAAGCTGCCTTCCATTCGTCCCCTTTTTTGATTCGAACATTGTTGTATTCCCACCTGACGTCCAGTTTTGTGTAGTATTTAGTGCCTCGTAACCTGTCCATTAACTCTGATATGAGTGGGAGTGGATATCGATTCTTAATGGTCATTTCATTAAGTTTTCGATAGTCTTGGACAGGTCGTAGTTTCCCGTCTTTCTTTTTGACAAAAAAGAAGGGTGAGGCCATGGGGGACTTAGAGGGTCGGATCCTTCCTGTGGACAGGTTCTCGTCGAGGAAGTGGTCAAGTTCTTCTTGTTCCTGGGGGTTCAAGGGGTATACCTTGCAATCCAGGCTGGCGTTGGCGTTTGGTACTAGCTCGATGGCATGGTCCCAGGGTTTTCGTGGGGGTAATTCATCAAAATTTTCTTTGGCGAATACATCTGTGAAATCTCGGTAGAATTCCGGTACTATTTCTTCAAAAGTTTTTTCCTTTTTATTGAGATGGGCCTGGGCGGCTAATTTGGTGGATTTAGTCCCCATGGCACATACATGAAAGGCTTGTTCGAAGTCTATTACGAGGATTTTATCCCCCTTTTCGACTTCAGTTCCCCACTGCTGACTCGGGTCTTCATCGGGTAGTCGGAACGGGATTTTCCGACAGTCACATCGTGCAAGGGTGACCATCCCGGTGTTCCAGTCGATCAGGGGATTGTGGCGTTGGAGCCAATCATGCCCTAGAAAGATTGGCGTGGTGCCTAGATCGACCACAGCCAACTCTATTCGTTCAGTATGATCCCCGATTGCTAGGCGGACTTCGATGTAATTAGTGATGTCACCTCCCGCATTTCGAGTTCCATCGGCATTATATACCGGTGTGGGGTGTGTGGCAGTTCTGGTGGTGATCTGATGTTCCTTGACCCATGTTCGGTCAATTGCGCTTCCCATACATCCGCTGTCTACCAAGGCTTTAATGGGATGTTTAGCCAGGGTATCGTAGGTTTCTAGTTGGACGGAAATGGTGACATTCTGTCCCTTCCTTCCTCGTATATACTGGGGTGGTTGTCATAGATCGGCCATCCAGTGGGCTTTATGACTGGTTTCTTTCCAGGTTTCATGAGGACGTTCTAGCAAGGTTTTTACTAGTTCATCGGTTACTTCCTCAAGGCGTCAAGGGTGGACCCACTGTCATAGGTGGGCTTTGGCAGCATCCGGGATAAGATGCATAGCCCTCCGGACCCATGCCGAGGAGTAGGGTTCCAGGTATTGTTGGTCCGAAGGGTACTCCTCCGATGAGTACTCGAGGTTTCCCTCTTTCGGCATCGTGGTCTTCCCCTTGTCACTGTTCACTGTAGGTTTTGTGGCCCTTTGTGCTTCTACAGTTACTGAGCTTCCTGCCTGTTCGTTTGCACTACTAAGGTCTTTTCCACTCGGGGATGGCCTGCACAGTCCAGATTTTTTAGAGTTCCATAAACTCTGCTGGTAACTAAAATCATTGTCGTCGTCAGGAATTTCCGTTATAATTACCTTTTTTCTTGCTTGGTTGCCTCGAGGGGAGAACCGGCTCCCCGAGGACTTACTTCCCAGAGACCCCTCGTCTCTGCCTCGAGCAGTATGGCTTTCGCCCTGCGAGGTCTTTTTTCTTGAAGGGTCCTCTCCCTTGTCCTTTACCCCGATGGGTAGATCGGTAATCCTTCGTGGACGCACACATGTTGGCTCACCCGGGGATCTCAAGGGACTCTCCCGGTTCCCTGCCTCAGCTGCTTTTCCAGCGCGAGCCGTTGCTACAATTGAGGTAGGAGCGGCAGCTCGGATTGTCGACCGATCTTCATCGTGGCAACTGAGCGCAGTCTGATCCTGACATGGGGGGCTCGCTGACTCTCTCGGAACTTTCCCCATGTCAGGCAATTCCTTCTCCCCTGCTGGGAGTCTGACCACGTATTGTGGCCTGCCCGGGCCTGTTGTCGTTAGGCTGCTCGGGCTCGTTCCCCAAGGTAGATACACTCGGGTTCTACTGCCTGTTAACTCGACTCCAGTCGTGCGGGAGTCTCCCATGCGAGGGCTTGGTGGGTGAGATTCTTTATTGATTGACTGGTCCTGGTCAATTCGAAGGTGGAAATCCTGTTCTACACCGTGAGACAGGTGATAAGAACAGTCCTGTGATTCAGTCTGAGTTTCTTTGGTGCACAAAAGGGGTGTATCATTCATAATGGTACCTACATGGAGAGTGTCAACATTAAATTTCATATTAGAGTGCATACCGTTTGAAACATAAGTCCTGGTCGGCCGAGGTGAATCACCTAGTCCTCGGTCGACTCCTCTTTTACCTCCTCAACTGTCGTTGTAGTGGGGGTTTCCTCCTGTTCTGCTTCTTCAATCAATGCCCTGAGGCATTGCGTGAAGGGGGTCACCCTCTTCGTGAAGGGTGTTGCCTTTGGCTTTTTTACATGGCGCCATTTGGATTTGTCAGTCAGGCATTTGTTATCCCGACTCATGTGTCCCATATTTCCGCATCGAAAACATCGCCTTTCTTTCTTGAGTCGATCAATGTCCATTGGTTCGCCTTCGCCCCCATAGGTGGTTCCAGTGGCATCTCTTCTATCGCCTCTGCCTCCCCCTGAGGTGTTAGTCCGTCTGGTGGATTCTGTTTTGGATCCCTTGGTTCCTGCGGGGCGACCTCCCCGTTCGGCTACCCCTACTCGATAATTCTCGTTCATGCGGCCAACTCTGTCCTTCCATTCATAGTAGCCTTGGGGTCAACGATTGTTGCTTCCCATAATAATTTCTCGGACGCAAGGTCGAATGGCCAGTTTTACCACTTCTTCCATTTGGTCCGCATTGTCAAATCGTTTTGCTTTTATGGCCAGTTCTTCGAACTTGTCGAAGAACTCCACTGCTGTCCTGAATTGGGATTGCTGGAGCTGTTTCCACTTGATCCGTTGATGAGCCTAAACTTCCATGGCAACGGCAAAAACCAAAACTCTAGAGGAGTTCACGGCAAATGGCGCGTAGTGGCAATAAAGGCTTTGTTGTTGTGCGAGTGTTTCGGTGCACCTCCATGTGATGAATTCCTCAAGAACGCAAGTATACACTGCGACTTTTCAGTCAGCGAAGTAGTACCCTTAACGATCGAGTACTAGAAAACGTTGGCTGTAAGCCGGAAGGGGTCTCGATAGACGAGAAGGAACGGAATCCGGTATAACTGGGAATACCGGCAAACCGTGAACAAAGTGACAGCAATTTAACTAGTAAAAGCCGTGGGCGATGTTGACGGAATTAGAGAAAATGCCGTCAAAGAGAAATACCGTTGGCAAGATAACAAATACTGTGACAGCAAGAGACGAAGACTGTAGTCGAGAAATGAGAAACTGGCAGTAAAACGAAGATAAGACTGGCTGGCGATGATATGAGGGGGAACTAGTGACGGCAAAACGATGGCTGGGACTGGGCTGGACTGAAACTGAAACTATACTGAGGTTAACGACTGCAAAACGAAACTGATACTAATCCTGAGTCTACACGGAGACTATCCTATACTGAAACTGATGGCAAGATACCAAATACTGTGACTGATGATCCTATACTGAAGCTGTCGACCGAAATTCCGTGACAGATGCTGCTGGCGGCAATAACGATCCTAATCTGAGTCCACATGGGGATGTAACGATCCTGAACTGAACTGGGTAAAACGATGGCGATGTAGAAGGTGAAAACTGATGAAAACGATCCTGGCTGGTGAAAGTGAAGCGATGCTGGCGGATTTAAAAGATAAAAGCGAGTTGTGGACACCAAATTCCGTGTATTGGCGCAATATGAGCGTACACCAATACCGTTAGAAGAAAAGCCATGACAGAGAGTATAACTTGGAGTGACTATGTTGTTATTGTCTATCTCCTAGCGAGTACAAGCGATAATGGTGGTCGATAACGTGGATGATGGCTAGTGTCCAGTAACTTGTGTCTAGCAACTACTACTACACTAGCTTTTATACTACAAGTCCGGAATAAAATTAGAATACTTGAAACGAGTCCTTAGTAAGTCCTTAGTACATCAATTGGTAAGAAATGATACAAAACGCGTGCTCCCAGAGTTCTAAAGTAACAGCACCCACACGGTTTTACCGTGTATAGACTTAGTGATCAGAAAAAATTCCCCCGACATATGGACTCTTGGGCTGCTGTGTTGCTGCGGCAAAGTACACTGAAGGTAGTACACTGAAGTAGATGCATGTGGCATTATCTTGGCGTTGTAACAGCCTTAGTAAAGCTGGTGGAAAGGTCACGGTATCAAGTCTTTTGCCATGGAATAGGTATTTTGGCTGCGGCATTCTATTAAGTGATGCTTGATGCTGATGTCAGTGATGGCTGTGCTGGGCGATCAATGATGGTCCTAAATCTGTGAGATCTGCAATCAGGTGCCTGGCGGCATTAATGAAGTGGCGCATATTGATATGGAATACGAGCTGGGAAGGATAGTTGGTGGTAAGAGTGGGTATTGCCGTGATTGCAATCGTTGACTTAGTGAAAGTCCGCTAAGTGGACAAGGCATTTATTATAATGCTAAAATCTGCGAATTCTGAGCGTACAGAGCCTTGAGGCTCATCACCGTTGAATTTCGACCTCTGCTACTTCTTTGAATCGTCTTCGTACTTCTTCTTCGAAGATTTCCCATGCAGGGTATCGGTGATGGCGTGCATGGGAGTCCCAATATTTTCGTCGTTGGTCCACCCACCACTGCTTAGCATTTCCTTTGAACAGGGATGCTGCAAATACTACTCAATTGGGTCCATACCCATGCGTTACGTTAAGGGAGAAGTACTTTGAAAATGTTTCAAAGTAAGCGTCGCAATCGTCGAAGAACTGGTCTAGGTCATGGGATTTTCCATAGAATCCGTCCGGTTTTTCTATGAGTGTGGGTTTAACATCCCCCCATGGATTGGCTTGTCCTGCCGCGATTTCCCAGTCGGCTGGTGGATCTGGTGGTAATGGTGGATTGGTAGGTCGAGGGAGTGATCAAAGGTTTTGATCACTATGTGGTGTAGGCGGTGCTGTGGGAGGGGGTGGCGGTCCGCTTCCACCTCTGCCTCCACCTCCGCCTCCTCCACCTCCTGGCATGGCAGGCGCTGGTCCGCTTCCTTTACCAGAGGTGGGGGTTGTGGTAGCGCCTCCCATGCTTCGGATATGTTGGTCCAGCTGCTTCCCGCCTGCGAACAGTCTGGGTTTCCTGTCAGGTCCGGTGATGGCAGGGGTGGCCTGGATAATTCCCAGGTTTGAGAAATCTGACTCCGAATCTTCAGCATTGGGGATCTCATATCTGCCTCCTTGGAGTAGTTGTCGATCGGGGTGTAGGAGGTTCCAATAATTTATAGCAATGTACTGGGTTTCCTGCGATAATATCTGCCTTTTTAATTGGGATCCAGGCTCCGCCTGTTGGTAGGCTTGTCCCTGCGGAGTGCTGGACCAGTAGGTTTCGTGGGGTAATTTGTCATGCATATGCCACCAGAACTGGTCCCAGCTCATTTTATAGAGTTCTTCATCGGTGGGGTTCCCTACTTGATCCCTGTACGAACTCGTTGCTTCCCTCATTGGGGTCACTGATGAAGGGTTCGTCATTGGTATATTCTCCTGTACAGGTGAGCCTGTCGATTTGTATCCGGGCTCTAACCCACGGGTCCAATTGGTCGAGATGGTCGGTTGGGTGGAAGACGGGTTCATATCGTAATAGATAGGGATTTCCGTCGATCCATATCTGGTTCCAGTTCCAGACGTATGCGAAGTACCTTCGGTATTCTTCAAAGATCTCGTTGAAGTCTTCCCTATCATAGACCCACCACTGAAGCTCTCTTTGTGATATAAAGGGGGGTTCAACGTAGAAGGTGGGTTCGGGATTGAGGAAGGGTTCGAGCTCTGGGTGAGGTCCAACTTCATTATATCGGGCTCGGGCCAGGTCCCGTAATTGTCGACAGATCCGGCACCTGCAGTGAGGCCAGTCTGTGAGACTTGCTTGATCGAGCTCGTCCTCGACGGGATTTGATACGTCGGTGGTTCCTCCGCGGGATTGATTTCCTGTGAACCACCAGAGGACAGTGTCTTCCTCGTTGGTGTCTGCGAATAAGACCCTACGCTGCCAGGGTGGTGAGTCTGTGTGGGGGTGCTGTCCAAGTAGCTCTTCTGCATCTGGCTGCTCCCTCCATGGGTTTTCTTCGGCGGTATAATATGGGGTCTGGGTCCCAGTGGGTTCTGGGATTGAGAGAGGGATAGGGTTTTCCTCCTCGGTGATAGTGTTGAGGGTTCCCCCGATGGATGAGGTGGACTCGACTGGTGAGATTCATGCAGTTGTGGGCTCCCTGGAGGTATCTGCCCATGTTCTGAGGTCTGCGATAGTGATGATATTTCTGGCTGAGGCGCGACGTTCCTCTTCTGCCCACTGGGCTCATTCTCTGGGGTCAGGTTGGATTGGAGGGTCTGGAACGTATTGACTTGAGCTAGGGATCGGCGACGAATAACGTCTTGGAGTGTCGATCCCATAGACTCGTCGAGTTCCGTCTGCCGAGTACCAGGATAGCCAGCTGGAGGAGCTGGTTGGTGACCCAGGGCCTTGGATTCTTGGCTCTGGGGAATCCCCCATCGTATCCCTTGGCTCGCCTTCCATTGTTGTGCCGCTTCTTTCCATGAGGGGTTCTCCCCATGACCGCTGGGTGTGCTCGTCTGTTGACCGGGCTGTTCCGTAGTCTGAGCTATCTGGGCCGCTGCTACTGCTTCCCACATCGCGCCCGGCATCTGGTCGTACCCACTCTCCTTTGATTGATCCTGGTGCTGTACTTGGGAGGCGTACTTCATGGCCTCGGTCGGTGAGGATTCTTCCTCTAGCGACATCAATGTAGATCCTTCGGGCTTCTCGTACGTGTAGCTGCTCTCCGGAACCGTCTCCGTCATTTGAAGAGACGCTGCTTCGTCCAGTGCTTTCTTTCCAAAGGGAAGGCCTATCCTCTTCACCCCTGCTGCCATTTTGCCCTTCCATGTCTTGCTGTGGGAGGACGTTGTCATCCTCTGGGACTGAGGGCTGTGGCGTGCTTGGGCAGAGTCTGATGGGAGTGAGGTGTTCGATGGAGGATTCATTAGAGTCCGTTACTTGCTCACTCGGGAGGGTCGATGTTCTTTGGTGTGTCCTTTCTAGCTCGTAGGCGTAGAGAAGGAGCGTGGTTTCGAGGGTAGTCATGGAGTAGTATGTGTCGTAGTCTTCTGAGTTCATACGGTCAACATCGTTCGATGAAAGTACTGGTTACGATTAACAGTATGACCACTGCTATCGCGGATAGTTGTAGTAGGAATACATAGAACAACAGCGTTATTTGTTTGTTCGACGGTGAGGGTATGTGAAGCAAGCTTTGGCTAATTGTAACGCACTAACTTGGATTGAACAACGTTTGCCTCTAAACTGTCACTTGCGTTCAGTGATTCAGTTGTGAAGAGGGCATTGCAATCGCTAGGTAAGGTACGATAGTCCTTAAGCATGAAACAGGGAGTTTCTGCGTGAAAAGTTAGGAGTGTATAACTTTAGCCGAAGCTGGGGTGTAAGACCACAGCAAGGCTCATTTAAATACATTGTGGTATTTACTAGTATGTACCGCTCCTGTGTCTCAGTGCGTGCTGCCCCAATGCAGCGCTGTCTTCTATGTCCTCTGTATCGTATGGTGCTTGGTATAGGAGAAGCCCTCCTGCGAGGAAGAAGACTAGCGTCCATAGGGCGCGGTCTTCTGAGGAGCATACGTGGTGGCTTGTCCATCCTAGGGTGTGATCACAGATGACCTAAAGAAGCGTGACTGGGTGAAGAAGGATCCAGCCCATAGCGTGTGATCGGTCTATGGGCCATCAACCGGATCATGTGTGTGAGCGGTAGATCATGCGTGGGATTGATCAGGTCATGAATGATGCGGATCAGGTACAAGGAATGATGATGAGAGTAGAATGACGAGTTGATGAGATAAGATAAGATAAGCAAAAAATAGGGGTGATTCATGACAGCCTTTAAGAGAATCCTGCTAGTTACCTGAACTGATTACATTTAAGCATGAACTTTCTTCGCCTCACCTCTTTCAACGTCCACAATTTTCTGCTTAGGCTTTGTACTCTTAAGGTTGTCGTTTCCTACTCAGTGCCAGTGATCAGTGGATATGTATACAGTGTGAGGGACGAAATATGCAGACATACCTGCAGGGCATGGTGGGGTAGTCACATTATCCGTTGCAATGTTGAAGCGCACGTATGGCTCAGTCCCACTATTCAACACATGATGTCTAATATTATGGTCGGTACATCTCCATACAAATTGTTTATATCCACCCCATCATCGAGATTTGAGGTTTTCAAGTAGATCTGCCAACGTTGGAAGTGGCAATAAAGCGCAAAAGATATAAATGATATACCGAGTTTGTCTTTCTAATGCAGATGGAAGATAAGCACAAATATCATTAAGGTTTTTGAGGGCAGTAGCTATGTCCAGTCTTTCCATTACCGGTAGATCTAGAGGATTTAATATGTTGGCGATTTGATATCCGTTGTGAAAAGACATTCGATGCGTGATGGAAAGGGTGAAATTGTCAGCGACAAGGATTTTGATTATGTGTGGAGAATGATGTCATATCACGGGAAGACCATGGCTTGTGTAAGCGAAGATTTTAGACCTAGAGAGACCTTGACAAGCAAGGTAAAGCAGCTTTTACCCCCCACGAAGGAGAATGGGAAGGAGTCTGGCTCACTAATCCATAATGACACATCACCAAATTTCAGGACTTAGAACTTCGCACCATTGTACCCCAGCGTAAGTATTGATTATTAGGACATTGAATACTATACAATATGACTATGGGAGGGGTGGCATAGTATCCGATGTCATTTAACTGAAGAAAACACTATACAGCTGAAAGGACGTGTTGTTGTTGATTATTCATCCATTTGTGCTTCTGTTTTGCTATCCTACATGCAGCAGATAACTAAGGAAACAATACCCTCATGAAATGACTCCAACAAGTGGAACAGTGGTGGTTTGGCAACGCGTCGTGCTAGAGGCACACTGAGCACGTGCCGGCTTGTCACCGGCATTCTTTCGGAGTTCGAAAATCCGTGAGATTGGGGGTTCCTCTATGGACCCCCGCCCCGGGTATCAGGCTAAGGCTTTATATACGGATACGAGTTCCGCGAGTATCTAATAAAGCGGCTTGCCAGGCTAGAAGCGAAGGCCAATTTCAATGGTTATCACGTGTACAACCAACTTATGATCGATGACTCATTGACTGATCAGAGAATCAGATATACTACCCCTTGACTGGCCTGAGATGCGGTCCCTCTACACTCGGCACCTGCTCATTGAAGAAGACATCTCAGGTATATGGATGTTGGTTTGGTTTAGTTCATTTTTCTCCCGAATTGTCGGCACGCCGCGGTCCACCTTTGCCACATCGAGGCTTTCAATCGAGATCGGTCACTGGAGCCTCATCGCCAAAGAAATACAAGTTTTAGAATCACTCTAGCTCATAATATCCATAGCATGCAGTGGTGTCACAAATACGCATATGGCAGAGCAAGTAAGAGTACCAACTTCGTAGTTTTGTAGATCTAATATTCACAACGGGAACTGGAGTTTGGGGCAGATCATTTTATTTCGGGAATATTGACTCGCAACTCCCGAGTTTAATAAACGTGGCGAAGTAAACCGCATTTACTCCCACCAGATATACGTTTGGGAGCATAATTCATACGTGCGTCTTCTCGGAGTTCGTCTTACCGGTGTGACTCTAACCTCCCGCCAATGTTGGAAGCACAGAAGTCGTAGATCCATTTGAAACGACTTCCCCTGAAGACATGGCGTCGACTTTTGTGGTACTTCTAAAGCTTCCTTCCTTCCAATCTAGGTCACCGCCTTTCCGGTTTGGTGGATGCTGTCGCTTCGATATCATCATGATGTAGACACGTTCTTTCCCCAGTACTCAGTGGACTATATAGGCCTACGCGGAAGATCAAAACAAGACTGAAATCATCTAATGTCAGTGAGGCTTTCGAAATCCCCAATCGATCATAGGTTTGGCAGTTTTGTGGCACCAACTTCGAAGTCGTGTTTCTTCGACGAAAGATCTGAGCACGCTTTGACTATCGTTTTAGACCTGTTCAGCTCTGACACTTACAGCCAATGGCATTCGCTTATCGTCTTCTTCTATTAATTAATCGATATGATTCGTGGTATTCGGCGCTTGATACAAGGTCACAAGGATATCAGAAGAAATACAGCGACCTCGCGTGATACGATAACCATGGACATCGCATTTCGATGGGCCCGTGTGGATCTACGATTTTGATTCCTTTAAATGTGGCGAGTTTTTATTGCTGTAGCTGCGTCGCCTCACTATTCAGCCTGGTTTTGAATCATGGAACCTCTCGGTCCTGCTTTGCAGGTAAATCGCAATCGCCTTGCACTCCCTGGCTGATACCCGTTTTTTTTCTTCTAGGAAAATATGACGGTGAGAATCCTTGCCCACGTCTCTACGACAAGTCCCGGATTTCCGAAGGGGATGTCTGGAACTCGAGAGAGAGAACTTTACTTCAGACCCGGTGAACGTTACCGTATTTACAAAGTTGTCTCATTGCCTCCAACAACGGTAGGTTACATTCAACTTACCCAGTCGCTGACACTCGCTTAACCTTAATATTTTATGAGCCCGATCCCGATCCTCTTAAAAGAGTTGAACCAGAAGTCAAATTTCGACTGAAATATATGACCACCCATCCTGCCACCTCCTGGGTGGAGAGTGCCGTTCAGCCTCCAGATACGATACGTATGCTCATCCCCCACACCAAATTAAGGAAGCGAAAGGGCGACCGAATACCGCCTGACCGTGCCTTAATGGTGAGTTATCTAGCATTGTTCAGCTGTCTGTCACTCATGATAGATAATATTCTAGAACGGAGATTTGGTGTTCGTCAGTGATTAGTGAAGATATCAGGCTGTTGAATAGGTTCTCCGTCGCTGCTGGAACCTGTGTTCGGATCCTCAGCGAAGTCTTGAGTCAAGTCCCGGTGGTTAGTCCCTCCCCGACTGCAGTAACAGTCATAAAACTGACCTCACAATGCAGAGCGGTTTGGAGACTAGCTCTCGGCCAACCACTAATTTCCGTAGTGGAGCATATCGCTTCGCCATCGTTGAGAAGAGGACTGAAATGGTGGAGGTTGTTTCGAGAGTAAGTTACTCGGCTTGGGATCTCGAGGTGGTGATCTAAAGGGCTGGATTGTAATTCGGTACATAATACGATATACAACAAATAGCTTCTCTGAGCAACTTCCACCTGGTGTACTATCGTTATCCTAGTCGAACGCACTCAAACTAGAATTTGTCCAGCTGGTAAGCTCAAATTATATAGACGTCCAACTAGCCATAAGTCCTGACTCGGAATTTTATCTGCGTGACGTTCATGGGTCAATGTGAGAGTGTAATGGTCGAGACTGCGTCGACGCATTTTATCAATGTTCCTGCGTAACCGTGCCACTATACAGTATTTTCGATGGCTATCACACGATTGCCGACATGGCCTGCTTCACCGTCCTGAGCATAGAATACTATGGCCTTCGTGTGGGTATACGACGCGCATAAAATATGTATATAAGACGCACCCTATTACAAGCACCCATATATAATGGGGTCGCGTGGCGAATCTGAGCGCATCAGCTTCACGATATGCGTAGGGATATTGGACAGGTCCAGAGAAGCTCGGGAGTGTAGAGACGGATATATATTTGTGACAGGGCTCAGAAGCTGGTTTATAGAGATGATAACTACAGGAGAGAAGTGACACCCGACATGAATCCCAAAACACCATTTGCTGGTCCATCGAGAGGCCTCGAAATGCAAAATACTTTTTGTCGTACATTTTTTCGTATCCATTAGGTTCAAAAGGACGACTCGGTCAGCAGAAGAGATTGAGCATTGCGGTAGCTGGATGAAGCGTGCGCCGTGAATGCAATTGAGATTCACCGGAGTCCGGACCGGAACCGCCGCTCACACACGCGCAGGATTCAACAAGTAGAATAAAATTGTGAGTAAACATGTATGCATTAGTGTTACAATAATAATAGAAGCTATCATGATTTTATGGGTCCGTTCTCTGCAGCATGAACTGCAGATGCAAGATCAAAGTGGAAGAAGGGAGTTTGTAGGGCAGAATCATCCTGGCTGATTGAAGGACTCGGGTCTCTATCGTGCTTCCAGTCCGCCGTCTCGACGTCTCCTTCGCGTTGTTCTGATGGTGCCTCGGCACCGTCTCGATAGGGAACAACGGCCGCGATTTCTTGGGGGACTCGCTGGCCTACACCGAAGCCACCTGCGATTAGTGCCCGGCGGATCCAAGGAGAAAGAATAGTGGCAAAGTGGAACTAAATAGCTTGTAAGGTCAAGATTTCACTAGAGAGCATCAGAAAAGACGTACCTCTACAGGGCGGTCGGTCCATCGTTCTATTTCATTCCGGGTATCGATTAGTGCTTGGACAGCAGTGGTATCAATTTGCGAGCTGTGGAAGAGAGATCAATACGTAAAAATGAGACTTGGGATTGGAAACACACATCACAGAGAAATCGAGAACGACGGCCCGTAGTAATGGAAGATTCGCGTTGGCTTCGGTAGCAGCACCGTGATCGCCTCGTTTAGGTCCAGGATCGTTCCATGCACGGTCGCTCAGCTTCACCGTGCTCATGTCCTTGCCTCTTCTCGTGTTCTCCTTCACATAGTCCACGAGAGTCGAGTTCAACTGCGCGCTATTGGGGTAGAGGAAACTCTCTTCGAACCGATAAACAACGACACCTGGAGGAGGCGGAGTGACTTGGACGTCTGCATTGGTGACGCCGTCCTTGGTCAGGGGAACAAATACTTCTCGGTGGTGCTTGAGATCTGAACCGCCATCGTTCAGGGTAACCTTGCCAAGGAAGTAACCACGAGGATGAGCGAGGCGTATGAGGAGAAGCGCAAGAGAAGTGCAGATGGACACATATATGCCATTTTCGATGGATGAGAAGATTGTCACAAGAACGGCCGCGAACCATATTACGAACTCCAAGGGAGACACGCGCCAGTAAGAATAAACCTAATAACAGAATAAGCACAGCACTATGATGAGTAAGGAGCGAACATACCTGCTGAGGAGATGCCACCAGATCAGCCACTGCGTGGATAATCACGGCAGAGAGACCAGCAGTGGGAATCCAGTAGAACGCAGGTGTCAGGCCGTACAATGCCACAATCACGACAATTGCAGTGATGATACCGGCAGCAGGGGTTCTCACGCCTGACTTCGATTTCAAAGCAGAGCGAGAAAACGAGCCAGTAGCGGGGTACGCGCCAAAGCACGAGCCCACAGTGTTCGTAACTCCTATGGCGATAAGCTCTTGATTCGGGTTAATTTTGTAACCGTTCACGCGTCCGAAGGCTTCAAGAATATTGTTAGGGACGATATCTTTGGATTACGTATGATGGGACTTACATTTAGCAATGGCGATGTGCTCCAGTAATAGAATGATAACTGCAACAGGAAGCTTGGCAGCCAAAGCAGAAACTAGGTCTGGGTCGATGTCGGGCTGCCCGACGTGTCTAAGACCACTAGGGACAGTCTTTAAGATTTTGATCGGGTAGCTTCCCTTCGCATTACGGCGGTGTCTTGTGTATAGCCATGCAGCGATCGTCAGAATAACGATAACGAAGGCATTCCTGAAAACGGAGATGAAGAAGAAGAGTCGACCTCTGCGAGGGAAACGCTTTGTGAGCTGATCGCATACGATACGGATGGAGTATAATGCGACCAATCCAGCCAGTCCCCAGGCGGCATCGAGCTTCGTATTCGGCAGTCCCTTCAAGGTATTTATGATAACTTTGTAAGTGGCCGCGCGCGTACTAGAATTTGAGGTTAACTTCGATGATGAATCAGAGAATTAGGATGCGTACTCGAAACCGGTGATACCCATTAAACCAGGGACTTGACCAGCGATAATATTGATCGCAGAACCGGTCATGAATCCGCTGACGGCCGGTGCAGGAATGAAGTCGACTATCCACCCAAGCCGCAGGAGTCCGATGCCCAAGACGATAAAACCGGCAATAAACGCGACAGTGGTGGCTATCTGAGGACCTCCCCATTGATTGGGATGTTTTTCATCGATATACTTGATGATCTCGGACACGGTCAAGGACATGACGGCGACTGGACCAATGGACACGTCTTTTGAAGTTGCAAAGAACTAGATGGCAGATATTAGCAAATTAGGTTCAGGTTATGGTAAAACAGAACATACGCAGTAAATCAATACACCAACGAAAGAAGAATATAGTCCATATTCGGGATCGAGGGTCGCAATCTATGATCCATCAGACGCATTTTCTGGAGGATAAAAACGCTACTCACCTGAGCGTAGGACATGCTCTGAGGAACAATAACCATCCCAACAGTAAGACCGGCGATAACGTCACCGGTAAGCCATCCAAGATCTGGGATTTGTTCAGTCGCTGGTTTTCTGACGAAGGGCACCGTGAAACTCACTGTATCTAGTGATCCATCCAAATATAGGGAACAAGCTGACAAAGTAATCCACCACCTATAATCAAATAAATGAGTACGATTCAACATCAGAGAGATGTATACATACCCTTTTACCGGGGTTCGTGGTGTACCGGAGTACATAGTCTTTCGAGGAGACAACTGGGACAATCTCCTCCGGATATCCGATGATACGTTTACCAAGTCGTTTAGCGGTGCTGGTCATGATGCTGACTTGACCTCGGGGAAGGCGTTTCTAAAGCTGCTGTGTCTCTGAACTCGGCGCTAAAAAATCACAGCGTTATAGTTAGCTCCGGTATGCTCTGAATGAATAAAACGTGACGTACAGACTTCTCACGTAAAAAGAAGAGTCAATTGGACAGAAACGTCGAAAAGGAAAGTCGGTAGCGACAAGTGGATGGGCAAGCCATTTTCAAGAGTATTTTTGAGGCTCAGTAATCGCGACATTAGGTGATCACTCCGCCCAAGGATTGCGCAATGCGGAGTCTGAATGACACCACGCGTGAATTCGAAAATTCAGTTGATGCCATTGGCGAATGTCGACGCGATTGGGCCCTGGTATGTCGCTTTGTCGCTGGCGGGCCAGGAAAGGCCAGGAAATGGGCTGGGATCGACGTCCAACAATGTGGACTGTAAAAGACCCGCTCGGCCCCTTGATTTAGGAAAAAAAGTTTCTAAACAAGGTAATAGCCGCGAAGCCGATCATGTGCACCACGCTTCCTTGAGCTTAGCATAGTCTTCGAAAGAAATCATTCAGTCGTACTATAGGGATAGTTAAAAGAAAAGGAGATTGTAAGCGTCTACAACGATAGTAGATCGTCACGAGAACCGAAGTACTTCGACTAGCAGCTCAATACTGGTACTTAGAATCTAACATAGGACCAAACCACCCGCTCTACTATTCGTATGACCCTATAGGCGATGACGTGACAATTCATGAAGTCCAAAAGTCGTGCTAGCATGTTGCCTGAAGTTTGATCGATGGACGATCCCGAGTCCGCAAATGAATACATCAGGAAGGCTGGGTTCGTTAACTTAAACTTTTCGATAGAGAAAGACGCAATGCAACATCGATACCTCGTCAGACTTACTGAAAGGTGCTCTGCGGGCAATACTCCACAACATTCGACGTTCAAACGTCAAAAGCGGGCAGGTAGTCAGGAACACGGATGTTTCACCACTAAAGAGTACTAGAGCAAGTGGTGAATACCAGAAGGAGCTCCACCAATCTCGCCCCAAAATAAAGACCAATAATAAGGTAGCATCTCGTTCCTTAGAAAGAATCGGGACTGAATGCATGAGGCTGGGAATGGTCAGGCGGATCTCGACATATATCCCTGAAAAATTACACGTGAATTCATAGATATTCGTTATACATACTCCTCGGTGTCCTAGTCATATTATCCTGGACCGTGGGGTATAATGCAATATCCGATATACTCCTAGAAGAGGAAGGCCAGGAAGAACCAGACATTCCAAGATCGTAACCGAGAGATTTCTTCGAAGGTGACCGGTAAGAATACACAAAATCTTCTAAGATGAAAACCAATGTGGATAGAGCCCCGCTGAGGAACAGCATTTGCTGGAGGTCGGAAGCTGTTGGCTGTTAAGGCAACAAAAACCCGTCTCGGCTTGCGCCGTTCCATGTGTCGCTCAGAATGTAGCGCAATAAAGAGTAACCCTGTCTGTAAGAGATGTGGCGTATTTAGCGCAAATATATCAGGGGAAAGGACCCGTAAAAATCGTCGTTCCTTCACCCCTATGGTGCTAGGAAGACAACTCCATCGGGGTACCGCCTGCCTACTGTTGAGTCTGGCTTACAATACTGGAAATGAAAGGCACCGACAATGGACCTTTCGGGTTCGTTAGCGGTCATAGCCGTAGATGTAGAGGCGAAGCAAATCGTTTGAAAATCGGCAACAAATCTCAATAGTAGTAGAAGGACCCAGAGTAGGCGGAGAGAGAGCAGCGGTTTCGTCGGCCGATAGAAATGCAAATCCTCGATCAACCATCGACCTGGCTGGACCATGTGTTGCACAATGCACCGTCGTCCTCGGTGGGGATAGGAATACTTGGTCACCGTTGTTGTCTGAGGACTGGCCACAGACCCCAGAAGCGCAATACAGCTAGAGCTCCTCTCGCAAGACAGTTGAAGCGGAAGTCGGGCATAGAGGGAGAAGCTTTAACCAGTGAAGTTGCTGTGCGGACACGATATTCTCGGGATTTACAGACTTTCGTCACCTGTGGATTAACCCCGTTGGAAGCGAGGCCTGAAAAACCAGTTTGGTCAAACCAGTATTCATACTAGGACTGGAGGAAGGTAGAGCATCTCACCACCGTGTGGCCACCCTTTGGATATTCACCGTTCTTTATCGAAACATGTCATAGGAGTTGTAGCCGACGGTAAGCAAGCCATATCGTTCCAGTAGGAACAACCGGCTCAAAAACTTGTACTCGCTAGAATGAGCGGATGCACAAGAGGAAAGGTATTCCGATTTCAAAAGAACTCTGTCAACGTAGTCAATTATGTTTTCACTGGCTCGCAGATATTTTACCTGTATTCTCCAAAAAAGATGATCAAGGAGTTGTGGTCATCGCACTTGGCGTGAAGTCACTAGGTACCATAATATGACGTGGTCGTAGATCTAGAGTTGGGCTTAAGGGCAATGAAACTAAGTTCGTACCAATTTGACACGAGGAGTTGGTAGCATCAGGACCAAATTTTCAGCTATCTTGGGTTCAAAATCATCTGGAAATAGGGCCACTCGCTTTTATCGATCAGGCTATAGCAGCGTTCGTGTACCTTTGAAAGACTGAAGAGAACCTGGAACTTTGACACGTGCCAGGAAAAAAACAATTCACAGATATCGGCCCGGGTTTCCGGGTTTCTTCTCCTTACCGGATCGTGTTTGCCTTCCTTTCTTTCCGTGTATGAACTTACAGATTCAGGCCATCGTTAACTGGAGGAAACAATTTTTCGTTCACAGAAACTTGGACAAGAAGCTTTTCCTTCTGATTTCCTACCGGAAGTCGATACTATTTTTGTGGATGATACGACCCTGAGCAGCACTATCCTCGCGTACGTAGATCATCGATGGTAGTCCTACTTATCGTCTCCCAGGCATTTTCTTCGAATTCAAAGTCGCATATTTATCCCGTCATGCTTTGTAGGCTCCAATATCTGAAAGCACTTGGTAAACTGCCATTGTCGACAGGTCCACAGATGACTTCGTATGAGGGCGGTCTATATCTCAATTACGGCCCCATCCTTTTTTACCCCGGCTCTGGAAGGCACTTCTTTCACGCAACTGGCTGGATAGGTCCGATGGGATATACAAGATGGACGGGAACCGCGAAAGGCACGGATTACGATGTTGCAGGTGAGAGTGACTTTGGCGGATCATGGGTATGTTCTGTCCTAATTCTAAAGAACTACCTGGCTCAAGAAAGTTCAACAGCGACGTCTCTCCAAGAATCTTCGGTACTACAGTCTTTCTTTCTAAACTTAACTTTCGCTTGTTAGACACTAGCATGATCTACCTCAATCACGGGCATGTTTTTTTGACTAAAATGCGCCTTCTAAATGTACCTCAGAATACTAAAGTTGGTCATTAGGCACTTCACTAAAATGACCTCCTCTTACGATACTCTCTCCATCTATTGATGGAAAGAAGAGGAATAATCCTGGTTGTCATGCTCCTAAGAACGAAGCTACCGCAGTCCTTACTGGATGCCAAGTGTATGACAAGAACGACACTTGTTGACAAAGGCCGCGAGTATTTAATGTAGGTAGGGGCCTATGCGAAGAAGTCGGAATTGCTTTATCTTGGGGGTGGTCTATAAATAAATAGTGGTCACATCTTGCACACAAGGGATATGTTTGTAGATTGATATTCTAATCTCCCCCCTCAACGCTTCCTGTAAAACCAACCATAGTCATCCTCCTAACTTTCAACATACTAATCCCTGAACCTACGAAGCACCGTCGTCCTGGCTAAGGCTAAAGCCTAGGGATAACACCGTCACGATTCGGCCGATTGAGAATGTTTAAAATTTGGGCTGATACAGCGTCAGGGTCTTCTTGGACCACCTGGGGAAGGTGTGAAGAAATGGGAAATGGTAAGATGATTTAAAATGCTCACCAGGTGTCCTCCCGAAGAAATCCTCGCAACAGAGGCTGGCTTTCGGGCTTTAGATAAATCAGAAAGGCTGTCTTGCGAATATTGCGGACTGAATTCCGATGCTCAGAGTTGAATAAATCAATGTCAATGCCCTATAACGTACACGAGGCTGTCCTTTTTGCCGTAGATGATATGGATTGGGATCGTTGCGCAAACTTTTTCGATCTGCTCAGCAGCATCGAAGGTCGGTTCGAAATCAATGAAACCACCCGATTCGTGGCGTTTGTCACATTTCGTGGTGACTGAATCCAACGGATGTTCAGGGTCCAGTGGGCGAAGACCGTGATTCTAGTGATAGGTAAACAAAGATCAAGATGGACAACCTGGAGGAATGCACTAACAACGTGGATAACCACAATTCGAATATCCCATGTCTTCCATGGCGCGCGCTTCACGAAGTATTCAAATGCTGCTTTCCGGTTATCCCAGATGCTACGCTGTGCAGCTATAGCCTTCGTTAACATCGCAGTCTGGCGCTCGCGATCCTTTATATTCGCTTGGAATACATGCCGATCGATCATCGGCGGTTCGACCAATATGATACTCTCGTACGGTGACGTACTAGAAGAATAACACTTGGTGGAAAACATGCTAGAAAGAGCATCTAGTATGAAGAATTAAAAATAGGTGCAGAAAAACACGTACGCAGCTGAAGCTCCGGCAGAGTGTCCGATTACGACAATACGCTCGCCCCGCAGGCGATTCTCCACAAATTCTGCGACTCCACGGGCCCAGTCCGAAATCGCTAAGGGTCCAAGCTTTCCATCAGTATTGACTTCATTGATGTAAGCAGGCCTTACAGGGAGAGAAGCCGGCGATCTCCTTGGCATTCAAGAGCGCCGATTCGCCATGACTGAGTGAATCAAATGCCCAGCATTCTTTAACCTCTTGTGTAGCACTGAATACGTTGGCGATAACAGGTTCCCAATGTTCCTTGTCTAAAACACGTGTCAGGCAAGACGTCAACGAAGACCAGTTATGAGCATGTACGTGCGCCGGTTGCGTGTAGAAAAATCAGGACATTTCCGTCGTTCCTAGTAGAAGCAGTAGGTGTGTAACGCTTCGCAGCCATCTTAAGGTGTACCCCATTAACGACGCAGGCCGTCTTGAGAACAACGGCTTCAACAATGAAGGCGGAAAGAGACATGTCGGAAGATTAGAGCGCTCCTTCGCTTGAACTTCCCATAAATATGTACTCTCCGGTTCTTAAAGTCGATTTGATTCCCGGTTGTCGCGGTGACTTCGCCGTTCGGAGTCGGCATCATCCGGTCGTATACTTATTGGCGCCTTCGGCAACCGAACCCCCTTTGAATCCGAGTCAGGCCCGAGGCAGAAGTGTGCCCAAGGTAAATTTTTGGAATACATCGGCGTCTCGCGAGGTCATCAGGACATAAGGCCTAGGCAACGTCGGGGGTCAGAATCAGAATCAGAAGCCATAGATAATAAAATGATCCAAGGGACCACGTACGTATTGCTAGTCCCACGATTTTCGGTGTCCAGCCTCAGCGACTCAAAGACGTTGAGCTCGAAAACCACGGGCTTTGTTCGCACTCGGCGCATCCAAAGCTACAGTAGATTTAAACCAAGGCGACTGGAACCGTACATAGAAAACATCATAAGTTAACTATATTAAGCATCGTGCAGATGAACGCTACACCTAGGCCTCGGAACAATGCGGCATTGGAACGGAGAAGGATGGCTGATACCCGTGTCAAGTGCATACGTTGAGGTAGGATAACGAAGATGCACACCTTGTTACACCCGTAGTATAGGATATTTCCGGACAGTATTCCGAACCTGTGTTGAGGTCAACGGGTTTTAGGATGTTGAAGCAAGCGAGTATATTGGCGATGTTAAGAATGACAGATGTTTCGGCGAATCCAGCACCTGTTGAATGTGCCTCTGTTAGGCGATTAGCCCGAAAAGAGATCCATACTAACCAGGGCAGACCCGTCTTCCGAAGCCGAACGCAAGCTTCCGTGGGTCCATCTCATTTCTTGTAAGAAACCGACTGGGATCAAAAACATCTGGATCGCTTATACACTGAAGGATCGCGACATATTGCCCTAAACATCCTTCAGTAAACACAGCGTCAGCCAAAATGGCAGAGCTCACCAGATATTTGCCATTACTGTACTATTTTTCGGAATCCTGTACCCTTCATAGGTGTCTTCTCGGATGACGCGATGAGGAAGGCCTTGCTCACACAAAGATAAATGTAAGCCATAGTATGGCACTCGGTGTACACGTACCAAGTCTAGCTGCAGGAGAATATCGTAATATCTCTTTGAAGAGGGCAGATATATAAGGAAGAGAGAACTGGTCGTCGATGTTTGGAAGACGATCGTCGCCTAACACAGAATCGATTTCGTCTTGGGCCCCCTTCTGTACGTCTGGATATTGCATCATTAATGCAATGAAAGATAACATTATTGAAACCGTCTGCGAAAACGGTTACCAAAATATCAGCGCTGCTGGGGGATAAGGCTTACAGTATCTGCACCTCCAGCATATAAAGCAGATGAACACCAGCTTATTATACGTTCCTCGTCGTCATCAACATAATGCCCATCTTGCGGCTGAAGGTGTTGGGATGTAAATGATTCCTTGGCGTTGCCATTTGCCTGCGTGACTTTAGCACTTTACCAATGAACCGTTGTCAGTCTACTCGCCATCTGTTGTTTCGTCCATTTGAGCGGCACCTGATCAATCGCCTTCATACGCTCACGAACGGAAAACGCAAATCTCTTAAAGTGCGCCCCCGGCATCCAAGATGGAACGAATCGCACTTTTCAAATGTGAGATTAGCAATAGATGATGAAAGTTTCGCGTCATACGTACGGAAAGGCATCACTTCGATTAACCACCGACCAGGCTGAACGACCTGCTTGTGAAGGGCGAACGCCTCCTCCATGAGCGAAACAAAGTAGTCGTCATCGCTGGTAACCGGCCAACCATAAGCTAGGTCTAATACGACTGCGCCAGCATTCCTAATTCATCATGAGAAAGAATAGACCCAGAGTAGATGTCCGTTACCTTCGAAGATGTTTCGCATAACTTTCTGGTGTATGCAGAAGTCCGTCTAAGAGTATATGTAGTTCCCGCTCCAAGATACCCCGATAGGATTGCACTGCTCTCGGATTGAGACCCGATTGAAGTATTCGTCGATATATTTTATGATGAGGGTGTTGCGAAGAGACTGAGAAGACAGACATTCCGCGTTCAGCCAGTTCGTTGTACATCCATACTACCGGTCTGTCCGAATATATATTAGAGCGATGTTCAAGAACATCTAAAGCAGCTTCGACGTTGTTCAATACTACAAAATGTCGTCCGAAAATTCTATAGTGAATTATTGCACTCCCTGCGAAACTCTTGAGACAGAGGCCTAACAACAGTAGAAGCAGTCGTACCGTATTGTTTTGACCACATAGCGAAAGTATTCCAAGGTGAAACCCTTGGTAACTGGTGGACATTTCCTGAGAACATTTTCGCCGGAGGTCCTGGGGGAAGCCTGAGTAGCCGAGCCCTGTGTAGCACTATAATGGTGCCCGGTAGCACCAAGGCTAACAAGGTGAACAGTATGAGTCCAACAAACATCAAGTTATCCAAGCACAGCAAGCTAAGAATCTTGATCATGACTCATGAGTGTGTCGCCGTGAGAGCAAACTACAGTGAAGTGAATCGCATGGCGGCGATTGTAAGAATTCGGTTATAAGCTACGTAACCGGAATTCGCCGTATCACTGTATCAGCCGCTTTTTACCGTTTATATTACTTAGTAACTATCTAGTGCTTAGTTAGATGTAGAATTGGACCGGCCTGCCAGTGGCCAGCCTCGTTTCCAGATCACCTATTAGTAATCGTTTGGTTTTATAATTGATGTGATTAGCTTCGGTTATCCCTTGATCATCCTATCAATTATAAAAGTTCTTATACAAGTAGTTCCAGGTCTAACCATTATGCGGAAGATGACATCTTCAAGGTTCAGATAATTGATATCACAAGACTTTTTTTCCCGACCTTCATTATCGACAAGTTCACCAAGTATTAGGCCAAACTACTAGTACAAGCTACAAATCAGACGGTCTCGTTCACCACCGGGTGACCACTCTCTGTAGTATTTACACCCTGGTCTCGGCCACTACTAGTAATCTGTATTCTATCTCCGTCACTCTCCTGGTACGATTTAACTCCGGCTTTCAGTGTCATGGTCCTGTCATAACTCGACTGAGGTTCAGTCTGGACAAAGGCCGCAAAGTCCAGACGACTCAAAGCATTGTGCGGGTCATTCTTTTGGTATCGGGCTAATGCCGCACGTAATAGGACGACAGAGAACGTAATTGGGATAATTTGCCCGATCTACCAAAAAAGTGGGATTAGTGAGGCGAGTTTTAGATACCTACATACAGAGAACCGACCAGGTCAATAACAAGATATGCTGCATTTGATTGACACAAGTACGTTGCAAGCATGGCGACGAGCGCTAGGGAGTATAGTGCACCGCATTCAAAGATCACCAGGATGATGGGATAGAACGAACTCCTCGAAGTGTGCGTGGACATACTACTGAAGTACTTTACAGTACGTTTATGGGCTATCCACAATTTAGTCGCCAAAATGACTAGGAAGGGGAGGTTAGCAAGCACACACCCCGGTTAATATGCTTAACTTACATGTTGCCGATATATTGGTCACCAGAGCGACGGAGTAAAACGATACGACCCACTGCCCGGTCTGGTGGACAAATATTACGTCTTGACTCTTTATCTCAGTCTTTCTTGCTATAGACCAGATGGTGTGTACCCCTGCCACTAAGAAAAATCGGGTGAGGGCCTTCGAAGTCATCGACAATGTCTGTCTTACCAACTGTTCCAATCCAGCCGAGAACTGGGAAGGCGATGATCAAGATATTTTGCCAGACAATGTAGCAACGATATATCTATGAGCAGCGTTTATTCATAAAAACGAAATGCTTAAGAAAACACCGTACAAGAATGCCATCGGCCAAGAGAGTCTCCAAAAAGTACACCGTATTCTTGAAAGTGAATTTGGTGCTGTCAAGAAAGTACGTATTAGTCCCCTTGGGACCCAATGAACCCTTGATACGCGTAGATCCCGTCTGCAACGAGATGCTGGTGTCTTGGTCAGTTGAGCGTTGTGATGATGACGAGTTGAGTTCGCATACAAGAGTACTGAGAATAGCCAAGGCGCAGACTCCTACGAGAGTTACTATTGAAAGTTCGTGTTTGTTCCGCTCACGGATTAGAGCCCAGAGTGTAACGGAAATCAGCAAAGCAGCAAAGCCTAAGAAATGTTGTTATCGCAGGACTCGATACGAAGGGTGCGATCGCAATACATACCATAGAGGACAGATTCGACTATAATAGCGATAAATTCAGCTGCCTCGATCGAGAGGGCCATAATAAGTGTCGAGCGAGAAGAGAGATATCTTCAATCTATGCAGCTCCTGTGGGCTTAACTATGCTTCCCTGAGATATCGCCACAAAGCAAGATTGCAGGCACCAAGGAACGAAATATCGGTGAAGTCCGAGAGATGTCGAAAGCCGGGATAAAGAAGGAAATTAAGTAACGAACATCCAACGAACACCTTCGAGGAGATTCGCAGAGGTATAAACCACATTGCTATGCATCATGACTCCGCTACATTGTATCCGGCCATTTCAACACTCCATATGACTCTCGCGCTCATCAACCCATACTTGATGTGAAAAGAGAAGGACTTCGACCTTTCGTTCCCACGATTGCCGGCACGGTAACCACGATTGACTCGGCATAGCATAGAATGCAGTAAGTATCATCACACTCGCTGATCCCCTGGTCCCCCTCGTCCTGAATTTCGGGTGTATCACGACCGTACACTGACAAATTCGCAGCTTGTGTTCAGCACATGAAAGGCGACGTGGAATGGTATGATCGGGGATCAGGGGTGGACATAAGGAATCTCCCGAGATCCAGCTCCGTTCTTGCGTCGCAAGTCTCGCACTATATCATCCCTTTATCTGTACTTGAGCATTCTGATGAAAACATCATCAGAAACGCAGTTACTTACTAAAATAATTCTTCAAATTCTGATGGCATCACAACCCATCTTCCAAGCCACACGACGACGCAAATCTTGTGGATCGACCTATTTCTCCGTGATACATACAAGTGTCGGTTTGGTGACTCGGAAGTTTTGTTGGACGATGAGCAGGCAGTTCGTTGTTTCTGTTGAAGTTGATTTCGGCTCTAAAATCCCGGAAAACGCTGCCGGCTATCGCCGCAGCATGCGCGCGGCGCCTTCCAGAAGTTTCAAAAGAAAAACACTCACTCTGAGGCTCGGAGACTTCTTGCTCAGTGCTGGACTTGGGAACGGAGACGTCTGAATAGGATCGACAAGTCACCGTCCATCAGAACAGCTCCGCGTCAGTTTATTTCCTACATATTCCAAATTTATTTTGCTGTTGCCATATCTTTAGTCCTTTCTAGAGTCGGGACCATATCGGCAACAAACCCTACCAGTGGGAGACCTACTTATAGGTGCGAAGAGTTGAACGTTAACATTACCAGTTACCCCCACTAACCACCATATGACGTCTAAAGCTCATTCTGCGTCAGGCTCTTCATTACAATTTAATGGGGAGCCTTCGCTTCTGTCTCTTCCGTCACTTTCTTCGCTTTCGGCTGCTTATGGTAAGAGACTTAAACGTAGATGTTTATTGCTCCATCCAATGTCGTTATCCATCGACAGCAAAAGCCGTTCTATTGTCGTCCCTGGGTCAAGGTCTCCGTCGGGGCTCACTAATCATCTTCGACGAAGGAAATTCTTACCGTTTCGGCAACTTAGTCCCGGGCGGAGACGCAGATTCCGTCGTTATTCAAGTGAAGTCCCCAAATTTTTGGACTCGGATCTATCTGAGTCATGACCTTGGGTGTAAGCTTGTTAGCCAGGAGACCGTCGTCCGTTATATGACCTTAACTTGGTGTTTTAGTTGCTGAAGCTTATATGAGCGGCGACTTCGAAGTCGGCAGCCTCAAAACAATGCTTGCTGTCTGTCCCTTTACATCTATCCGCGTTCACTCCGCTGACGTCAATTTAGTTGTGGCTAGATAACCGTACCCATCTCAGCGAGCTTTCATCCTTTTGGAATCGCTGCTCAGTCGTTCTGTCATCTTTATATATACGTTATCTTGGCCAGTCCTTGAGTAATGCCAAACTGAATGTCGTATGCATTTATCACGCTGAGGGTGTATCCGGCTCTTAAGCTTATATCTGTGCAGATTACAGGCTACGACGTCGACAATGAATTCTTTAAGGTGAGTGTCCTCATGTCTAATCCGACAGATTTTGCCCCTCACACCTCCCTAACAGTCCTTCCTAAGCCGTGATATGACTTACTCATGTGCAATCTGGCCCGAAAGCGCAGGCGGCGTCCGCGGAGATCTAACAGACAAATGGCAGGAGGAAGACTTGGAAGTAGCGCAACTTCACAAGATCCGTAACCTGCTAAAGAAGGCCCGGCTCCGTCCAGGAGATCGTCTATTAGAGTTCGGTACTGGTTGGGGAGCTCTTGCAATCGAGGTTAGTGTTAAGTGTCAAAAACTATAACAATCGGCTGATAGTAACTCAGGCGGCAAAAATGGGATGCGAAGTAGATACGCTGACGCTGTCTGTGAACCAGAAAGCGGTTGCAGAACAAAGAATAGCTGCGCTATCATTGCAAGAACGAGTGCGTGTCCACCTGCTGGACTATCGGAAGATGCCAAGTGATTTCGAACACGCGTTTGACGCGTTTATCAGCGTCGAGATGGTGGAGGTCAGTCGCCGTTCCATTCAATTGTATGCAACCGTCATGACAATGGACTTGATAGGCAGTCGGTGCCATGCACCTCGGGAACTTTTTCAAGATTCTTGACTGGGCGCTGAAGCCTCGCCGTGCTGCTGCTGTCATCACGGCTACGACCCAGCCCGAGTGGCGTTTTAAAGTTTTTCAGTAAGCAAATGTCGTTCAGCCACAGGCTGTGCCTGCGCCGTACTTATCTTTCCCATGAAGACCGGACGACTATGCCAGACGATATCAGTGGCCCAATTCTTTTATTCCCTCTGCGACATATTTCCTGCAGGTTGCTGAAACTGCGACTCAAGGGCGTCTCGCTGTCGAGAGCGTAGAGAACTTTGGATCTCGTGAGTACTTCCCACCCTAGAGGACAATGCATGTTCATACATAATTTTCTTTTCGATTATCCTCGGACACTGCGTGAATGGGGAAGGTGGACCTTTTGCTGATCATTGTTATTCTACGCTGACTATGAGAGCGTTTAGACGTTTTTCACGGAACTGGGGAAACGAGGAGGTTATGGCTTCACTGACGAAAAGCCAACCACAGTTATTGAGGGTGCCAGGCGCCCTGGAGGCCTTCAAACGCAAATGGGAGTATCTGTGGGTGTACGCGGAAGTCGGGTACGCTCGTGCGTATACGTCAATGCATCATTTTACATTCATGCGTCCCGTAAGTAATATCCGCAACCCTGCTCACAACCCACCAACTTAAGCTCTGCGTAGGAGTTTGTCTCTGTTCCTTGCGATTGATACTACTCGGATGATCTGCCGTCACAGAGATGTAGAGAAATCAAGATGTGGATGGGAAACAATGGCAACAAGCATGTATATCTCATGGTAACTTATCGATTCCCTCGCGGCGGAATTAGGGATGACAATATAGTAGGGTAGTCATAGTATCATCAGAGATGATAGAAATCCTTGGTTCATCAGAAATTTTAGAACGTACTTACAATTGGACGGGAGAGATTCAGGTGGATTTACTTAAAGGGTGAAAGTGACAAAGGAAACAGCGGATCAAAAACAGAACCAATGGTTACGATATAGACAGATCCTGACAGATCTCTCGCTCTCGAATGTGTTCGAAGGTTCTTGGAAGTTTGCGTCAAGATGGATAAGATAAGATATATTTGTTCGTGTGACGCCATCACCTAAGACCGAGAAGAAGGCTAACGTGACTCAACACGAACAGTCACCGGCCATCGAGATGGTGTTAGGCGTCATTGGTATCGCAGCCGGAGGCGTCGCAATACCACTTGCTGCCTCTGGAGTAGCTGCCTCCGTTGCTAGCATCGCACAAGGTGCTGGAGCTCAACAGCAGGGGAAGGCCGCTTCAAAACCTGCAAAGCCGCCTGATCCGGACGACCCTCGACTCAAAAAGTTCACCCTCATAGCCCATTGCAATGAGGATTCACCATTAAAGGATCAGGTAGAAGGCAAGCAAGTAGTCTTGCGTAATCGAAAGGTGTGTCCATCTAGCAATATCCTTCGCCGAGAAACTGAGTCCTTTGCAGCTGTATCTTGATGATCAGGATTCTTCGCAGCGAAAATTTGAGGATGGACATGGATTCAGCGGCTTCTATGTTGATTATCCTTGGAATGACAAGCCGCGAGGGCTTGTCAGCACCATCCGACCAGATCCGCCGGAGCTGAACTGGATATATGTGAACAGAGATACGATGTTGGTGGAGCATGGAGGCAAGACACAGAGTCTTCCCCACCTGGTAGGGCCTTGGGACTGGACAGAGAACAAAGAAAGGCTATTGTTCGAGGGCTGGGAGGGCTTTGTGGTGATGGAAGAAAGCGAGGGTGGCTGGCTTTTATGTTACGACCGAGAACAGGACCATTTGGCTAGTATAAGAGGTGAAAAGAGAGTGCTAAAATGCACCCTGGAAAGAATAGTATTAAGTCCGCCCGTAAAATAGAAAAACATTACGAGCCTGTCGTGATGGAAGGAGAGCGCGGAATATACCGACAGTGCTGACAAACATTCCATACATGATACAATTATCTGCTCGAGAACATGCAACCAAATACACTGGCAATTAATTTACAGGGTCGATAGCCCCAAATTTACCATACCATAACTTCAACTCCTCGTTCTCTCATCGGTCGCATCCGAATCAACGTGTCATTTCGCAACTCGCCTCCATCTCGTGGCCCAATAACCGCCGACTCCAAAATCTTCCTGTCCACTCTGTATTCCAACATCCTCATTATGACATCCTCATCAAGGTCTATGTTGTCTGTTGACCAAGCGAGGTCAATTCGGGCGAGACCTGGTAAGACTTCCGGTTTCGACAGATAATCCGTTAACTGCTGGTCGAGGGTGAAGCTCTCCAAACCCCTCTTTTCAATGATAGAAAGCCGTCTGAGATTGGGAACCCTGAAAAGAAATTCGATGACCATTCTAGAATCGAAGGGAAGATCTTTCAAAGTCAGATGTGAAAGAGAGGATTGGTGCTTTGTAAGGGACTTTGCGCAACGAGAGACCATGGATTGGTAATAGATTGGGAAAAGGCGTGGATCAACATTCTTGTACAACTCTTCCGTACAGATATTCGTATCCAATACAAGATGAGTAAGCACTGGCAGTTCGAACGTCTCGAGGAAATCGGACACCCCATAGCGTATCACAGTAAGAGATCGTAGACTTCGAAGGACGCATGATGTTCCTCGAGTCCGTCCACTAGAATCCCAATGAGACAAGGTGAGGTGCTTGAGGCTGGCACAAGACCTCAGCAAGTAAAAGACGCATTCAGATGCGCATCCATGAAGAGTAAGTGAATGGATCTGACGTATCGGTAGGACATACCCTGCGACCGACACATCCGTTCCCCTAAGATAAAGTTCTCGCAGCTTCGGCGCCCTCTCGAACAAGGTGCAGGGATATGAACGCTCTGCCCAAGCGTCTTGCTGAGATAATTCAAGACATTCTAGTGATGGCCATACGAAGCTATGCTCATCAGAAAGGTTGAGATAGGAACGCAACACCTTGAATGGGTCAATGTCAAACACCAGCCTGCGGCATCTCGTCAGGTCTAAGCCTCCAGCAAAGAGCTTGTCAAAGACCCTGTAGTCTTGTCCAAGTCTGTCAACAACTTGACGAGTGGACTGATTTGCATATAACGCGGAAATGAAGATGGATAAGGGACGGGCGCAGGAACGATCCTGATAGAGGCTGATGACACTGCATAGTGCCTCGCTGACGTCTGCCTGATTTGCATGTGCATAAACGCATGTCCACATTTCTGGAGTAGCGAGTGCGATACTCCGCCAAAACGCGCATACTGAGGCAATACGAAGGGGAGTGATGATGAGAGCTTGAACGGCATTGCGGGCCGGGAAATACGACGATATTGGCATCGGACTACACGCATCCTTGAAGATACCCGTCAAAATTTCTACGGGGAGCCGACGAACGGGAGCCAAGCGAGACTCCCATGCATCGAGGCAAAGACTCAACTCGTCCCGGCCGTGCCTGAGCCGAATCAGGATGCTCTCAAGTCGAGAAATTTCAGCATTGTAGTCGGATAGCTTTGAGTGCAAAGATGGAATCGCTTTGCTTATGGACGCAACACTTTCTGGGTCTAATTCTTGACCAGTGCGAAGAGCGTTGTGAAGGTGGAATGAGATGGGGTGCGAGGGGAAGGCGAATGATGCGGGGCACTGCTTGCAAAGAGATATCAACGTCTCCGAGTCGGTGCGCATTGTAACTGACAGAGCATCAGAATTCGTGAGCTAAATGTTAAACGTTAAATGTCGAGATGCGCGCACCTCAATATATTGCGGGTGAAAACATCTAATAAAAGGACCCTCAGGGTAGCATTAAATGCGTGGTCTTCGCCTGGCGCAACATTCACCACGTCACGTACCGGAATCTATAGAGTCTAACATCGTGCCACTTCGGGAGGGTAAGGAGGGTTATAAACAGGCTACGTGCCGCATGGAGGAAACGTTATCAGAACTTGGCGTCGTGATAAGTGCTAGTATCGTGACTCTTCCAAAGGGTTTAGACGGCACTATCGCTTTGTCCACCAGGCCCAAAATATCCGACGGCCAGGGAAAATCAATCGACTTTTTCTCGGATAAAATCCTGCGCCCGACAATTCTCTTTGCGTTTGTCCTGAGTGTTCACGATTGACAAGTGTCGTCAGACAGAGGAGTATAAGTCTAAACTGGATTCAACAATCCGTAAGTACGAAGATAAGTCATTCAACGGTGGTAGAGTCTAGACTTTAATCAGGTAAAATCAGGCGGAGCGGGGTACGAGCACTACTACGTGGCACTTATATAAAAATGTGTGATCGCAGGAGATGGCACGGCGTCGCAGTGTGTCATTCAGGAAGTCCATTTAGGACGGCGGCCGACTTGTCTCTTCTCTTGAAATTGAATGGTATACAGCACATCCAGAAATGTTCGTGTTGTGCAACGGCATCCGCCTTGGTTTGTATCCTGACACCTAGTGGACAAAAAAAACAAGCTCCATCGATTCCATCCGGATAAAATACGGCATAACCTTTTCTGACATGACGGTGGGCCATCGCAGGGCGCGGCATATCCGAGTCCTGTGCAATGGGGTAGGAAGCTCCTTTAAATATCGACCTGAGCATTGATGTGATGCCTGACATACGAGTAAAGCCAGCAAGCAGCATGGTCCGCTACCTATTCTGAGGGTTAAGAACCCATCGCTGGGGCGTTGGAAGTACGGGTCTCAATGCTGGGTAAGTTGCTGGTGGTGAGGCAAATTCACAGCAGATCCTGGCCGCCGACGACGACGACAAGAGTATAAACAGTCGCCGAGTATCCCTACCGGGGTCATCGGAGACCGTGGAGGCGTCATTCATGCGCTTGAAGCACGCGATAGTGGTGATGGTGTTTGGTGTCGAGGAGTTGGAAGGATATGGCACAGCGGCAGAGAAAGTGAAGGGGTTACCTTACCAAAGTCCAATTCAATACTTACATCAGTAAGATATGTGACATGAAAGACATCCCTCTCATAGTGGCTGACCAATTGGCATCGATACTGAGCGTACACGATGACAGAATCTGGCGCATGGTCAAAACGAACGAAGAAAACCAGCTTAAAGAAATGGTCTTCACCATACAACACACAAGGATACACACAAACTTTCCTCAACGGGTGATCATACCGTACGACTCAACCCAAACCCTTCCCGGTCATTGCAAAGGCATCCTTGACATTCTTGATATCCCTAATATGCGAAACGCGAGCGACTGTTCCAAGACCTCCCTCAATTACTGCTCCTCACATCATTGGCGCTGACATGCAGTGCAGTGTCCGTCAAGATCTCGGTAACCGATAATCGATAATCACTAAGAAAGATCTGTCACCAGCAAATGACACGCCGAACACTATCGTGTAATGCTACCTATCTACCTAGCGTAAGTTAAACACGTTTCTTAAATGCACAAAAGACTCACAATGTAACAGACCTCTGATTAACGGATCCAAGTTGCGAAGCATTCAGAAAGACCACGGACAATATACTTGAAGTTGAGGAGTGCCGGGTATTGGTTTGAGGACGCAAAGAATCAGGCTTGTGAACTTCAATACTTCTCATTTTATTGAAATTAAGAACGATGCCCTTCGTGATATCACGATGCTTTGATTAACCATTCTAGTAGTTGATATGGATGCCATGGATCGGTGGAAAACAGTATTTTCCCCATTTTTCTTTAATTGTAGCATGAAGAACTGGCACCTGTATGGAGACTTGACATTGCGCTACATACCGGAAGCTCTTCATGGGTAAAGTGTCCCAAAAACGCGTCTGTATTCAAGAAGTCTGATCTTAACCCAAGACAATCAGTCTTTCGATACAATGTGATGTATCTCGGACTCTCGCAAGCAAGAGTTGTGTCTGCGGCACAAGGAAATGAATCGCGGAACAAACGTATACGAGACGAGAAATGTTCATAAGACTTAAAATAAGCAAGATTAGTGCAATGATCTTTCACAGAACAGCAAATTATACGCACCGAAGTTCATTGGAGTAATACTTCCAGCTGTACATCACAGAGATGTGCGATTTCGAGCGGGGCTTCTGGACACGAATTCCGAAGCTAAAGCGATGTTAGGCAACAAATCGTAAGAGAAGGATGGAGGGGAAAAGACACACAGAACAACATCCAAACACGCGAATGGTTCCCCGTCGGTTGCGTCTCATTCGCGGTAGGGCTCTGGGCTCTGAAGAAAGGAACTTGTGGACGGCGTTGCAAAGGAAGCGGATCGCTTCCTAGCATCGTGAATTCTGCCTGATCGACCCATCCATCGTTGCGGGGCTGCGCCGGTAGCAATGAGCGGCGAGGATTCGCCTTGAAAGCTGTCGTCGAAAGTCTTCTTGTTATCATAGACATGATGGGAGGAAGCAAGGGTTAAATAAGTAAATAAATAAATAAATTTAGGTGTGTGGACTTGCGGCCCGCCAACCCGGCCAACTTCTTCACAATTTCAATTTGCACATGTTTCGGATGGTGTTCGAATTGCACGAAACAACTTATTTTACAAATAGTGGCCTTTCTGCACTGACGAGCGGTTCTCACCTTACACGACAGCCATGGAGAGAAAGAGACAACGGCGACGACTTTCAAAGTCTCTGTCTTTGGGGCCAACCGAAGCAAATATCTTTCTGTTGAGTTCTTTCTCTCTATTGTTTTGCTTAAACCTTCAATCAGCCTCTCTACCTCAATCAGCCAATCATCGCTATTATATCGTATTGTGTTCTCGCATGTTCCTCTTGTTCTCTGTTCTCTGCTCTAACAATGTAGACAGATCCCTCCTTTACACATGCCAGTATCACGTTCAATAATGACAATCACGAGATGTGAGCGAAAGACACAGTGCTGTGTCTTTCGACGCCTAAAGCAAATCCTCATAATCTGAGGATGCACCACTGCTCTCGAACTATCCTGTACACTTAAGCTACCTTTTCAGGGCCCAGAAAGGCTTCGCTAAACCCAAGGTTTTTTGAAGACTCGACTCCTACCAGGTGAAATACACTAGCCTCTTCATTTTTATACAGAGCGGGATAATATTCCTTTTTTGACATCCTACCAAGGCCATAGACACAAGAACCCATATTTCACGCGGTTTGGGGCATTCCTCTGTCAGCCGATTGTTTGACTAACAGTGCCAACAGATAAATCTGGCTCGATACCTCGACCTGAAAGCACATGTTTAGTTATCAACAACTCGTGCATACTATGATTGCACATACCGTTCTTACTCGAGAAATGTCTCAACAACGACACGAAGATCCGAGGTGCTAGTGTCATCTTACTTCTTTCCCATCGGATCTAGGCCTGAATTGGAGTAGGATATGTGATACCGCTGGCATTGTGCTTGGCATTTCGTCGTCATCGAAACACTTTAAGCTATATTCCAGCCTGGGAGTTATTTCCACTTGCGTCTGCAACTTTTTTTCTGTGTCAACAGATATTGACGGACGTGATGTCGCAGACAGACGCGCAGTCTTCTACAACGGATATCCGAGAAGCACGGCGCTTGGTGAATACTTCGATATGGGGCATTTACAATCCCCGGACACATGCAAGTGGGACAAAGATTCATGGCAGTTTAGGGCTCTTCGGGAATCTCGGAGGGCTCTTCACGCCTTACAAATCCAAAAATCTCGGTTTATGACCAAGTCCGATACTTCTTTGACCATTCACAAAACAGCCATACACAGCCAACCGGTATGCGAACACCTGTAAATCGGCCTTCGTCTTCTCATCACCCGGAGGAAAGGGGTAGATAATGCTGCATAAATACCGAGGCGCCTTACCTGCTACCTACGTCCACCATGAGCTCTTCGGTCCCGACGAAGGATCTTGCCTTGATCCCCATTCCTCGACGACTCTGCTACGATCCAGCACAGCCGTTTTCTGAATTTGGTATTGCCCTTAATCTGTTTTTCGCGTTTGCGTGCACTTTCGGTACCGTCCATATTTTGAATTGGTGCTTATTCGCCACTCATTTACAGCCTCGTAGTTGTGGCGAATCTGTATTACTGTCAACCATTGCTAAGTAAGTCTTGAGAGGTTCGAAAGTGATTGAATTCTGATCACCAACTTTTCCACAGTTCAATTATCTCAGTCTTTTGGTGTCTCGTATCTTGATTCGTCGAGGTTCGGCATGCTGTCTTCTTACGATCGTTTCTAATATATACACCTTCAGGGTGCCTACCATTCTCCAAGCTGGGTTCGACTTTTTAATGCTTCGAAGTCAGCGCCTCACACCGCGGCAGATACGTCACAGGCCTCTTCTTCCTCGCTCCTCTAGGCGACCTTATTAGACGCCGTCAACTGATTCTCGCATTCCTCCTCTGTTCCACCGTTCTTACGCTTTCTCTCGCTCTCGTCCGCAACTGGACTGTTTTCCTAGCACTCTCCTTCCTGGCAGGCACAGTCAATGTTGTGCCACAAATTCTCGTTCCTCTAACAGCGGACGTGGCTCCTCCCTCCCAACGTCACTTCTGCATATCCATTGTTGTCTCTGGGTTAATCATGGGGATCTTGGTGGCGCGGCTCTTCGCAGGGATCATAGCCCAATACACAGATTGGCGATCAGTGTATTACTTTGCTGTGGGCATGCAGACAGTGGTGCTGGTGGGCTCTTACACAACGATCCCGGATTATCCAGCGAAGAATGGGGGCGACCTGGCGTATTGGGAGCTTTTGTGGTCAATGATGAAGTTCGCAGTCGGAGAGCCGTTGTTGATTCAGGTAGCTTCGTTTGTGAACTTGTGTGTTGTATTTATGGTTAACCCTAGGCATGTCTTGTGAACTTTCTCTCCGCGGCAGGATTCTCGAATTTTTGGGTCACGCTGACCTTCCTGCTGGGTGGTCCGCCATATAATTATTCTACGTAAGTACCTATCTGTTGTTCAGCATCTTATTGAACGACTGAACCTCTCTCATCAGCCTGATAGTGGGGCTTTTTGGGCTCATAGGAATATCCGGTGTCTGTATGACGCCACTTGGTGGGTCGGGTTATGTTTTATGGCTAGTTGTGTCTTACGACTGGTACGATTAGCGAGTCTGCTATTTGATAGGATGAATCCGTGGTATAGCTCGGTCCTTGGCTCTGTGCTTTATGCTTGTTTTCAGGCACTCTTGGTGGGCGCGGCCGGAATCCACATTGCTCCTGTCTGTATCATCGAAAACATCAAGCGTAGTGAACTCATACTGATCTCTGAAGGAAGGTCATTTTGGCTACTGTAGGCATAGATGTCTTTTGCCGGATTTTGCAAGTCTCGCTTCAAATGTTAATATTCACGTGAGTTTGTATGATTGTACACTGATCTAGTACTTACTTTGTACAGTATTTCGGCAGATGCCAGTACTCGACTAAATGCCCTGTTCCTAATATCTGTAAGATAGCGAGCATCCTTTCAGTCACTGCAATGACCTGGTTTATTCTCAGCTCTTCTTTGGCCAAGTGATGGGCACAGATGTCGGTTCACGCGTTTTCTTGACCGCGGGATGGAGAGCTGGAGCAGGTTTATCATTGGGCTGGACTGGTGTTTGCCTTCTGTTACTTCTCGTGCGTGGACCACATTGTGAGCGCAGCACCTGGCTTGGATACGAAGGCGGGTTTGGAATGGGAAAGACGGTCGAACAGATACGTGAGGACTCGGAGACTGGAGAGAAAGGAAGCCCCTCAGGAGATAACGTGCAAACATCAGAGGCTACATATATTTCGTAGATTTCTCGCCGTTTATGCCAGACGTGGAGATATATCAGGCGATCCCGAGTGCAGGAGCAAAGATATCAGATAGAATGAACTCTGGGGCATCTGCCATGTTCACAGTCGATATGTAGAAGCAACGTTTGAAAGATGAAGACAGTCGGGCCGTTGTCCGAAGGAGTTTCGATTTTGAAATTTCCCGCTGCCTTCATCAGGATATTGCAGGATCAGGACAGCCCTCTCTGTGCTTGAGATTATTCTTTTTGAGCATCCACTCATACCTTACAATTCAAAATACACAACTCAAACTCCAAAGAATATTGAATGGATAAGGCATAACGCAACTGCTATTTTTCGTCTTCGACAGGACAATTCACGTGCCAAAGGCTATATTCCATCTTCCATTATTGCCGTTTTCGAAAAGAAATGACTGGATAAAAAAATTAGTCCACAATGAGTAATGATGTCACCGACGGCGAGTACGATTGCATGGCCCGATGATGTCATTGTCAAATGAAAACTTCTTTGATGTCATTATATATTTTCGAGAACAGCGAGAAATATCAAGAAATACGGAGAATTAATGGCAAATTTTACAGGCAGGTGCAATAATGACCGCTAACATCGTCCTTTTTGGGGACCCCCCTGAGAGGCGCAGTACACCGATGAGCTAGACTGTCTTTCTTCCACCACCATCCCTATGAGCGTTCGATAGAGCTTGAGCTCAATGTTACCATTTCCTCGCGCAAACACAGAGCTCGAAGCACGTAAATGAACGGTATATCTGATTCTGTATTTCCAAAGTGCATATATTCACATCAAACTTAGATTGGACCCGAAAATGTATACTTGTGAAAACGCAGTCGGTCGAAGTGATGGAATTTGTGGGACGACGAAGACCACGCAGCCTCAGAACCCCACTCAGATGCTGAAGGTAACCGAGCAGGGTGCGACCACAGAAAGCGCCTAGATAGAGGTTGTGCAACGTAAGTGGCCACGGAGGTTTTTCAAGTCGCGGAGATTAACCAAAGCTCGACAGAAGCTGCCCCAAAGCCGATGCAGCAGTTGTTCTCTCGCTTTTGTGGTGCGGAACGGAAAGAACGAGGCGACTCTCGCGCCATGACCGAGCGGACCGAGTTCTGAATTCCGATTTCTGCAACAGATGTTCCGTTCATCCAAGCATTGCAAATTTAGCCTTCTCTTCAATGATGGCGACGACATGGATTGCGGTCGAAGCTAGGCACCGGTGGTCGACAATCTTCTGGGAATTGGCAGGCTAGATGAAGCTTTCCATCCCTAGATTTCTGTCAAGATTGGAGTGCGGGATTGAATAAGGTGAAGAAGCGTATCTGAAGCAATGAATTAGGGTTCGAGCAGGGCTTGACTAGTCGTGAGGTTCGGCGCCCGGTAAGTCGAACCATCGTCTGAGGATTTCGTAAATATTCAAAGCAAGTCGAGGGCGGTTGTAGAATCGAGCTTGACTCTTGAGCGTCGAGTTGGTGAGTCGGGTGACATCCTTCAGTGGAATGATAACGATCAGCACAGATGAACAGAGAGAACTTCCAAGCCAAGCAGGTTAATCAACGATGTTCAACGCTAAAAAGTTATCGATTGAACTGAAAAGCGATATTCGGGATTACCGGCTGTGCTTGGCTGCACGTATAAAGTCCATGGACGATTTCAGCAGTGTTGACGTTGTTCACGAAAATGTGGCGCATCTTACGTACGCATATGGACTCTGCCTCCAACGATGTTGAACAGATTCTGTCTGTTTCACCTGTCCTTTCGGCGAACACGAACCTCCTTAAGACCTCGACGTATCCAGGACAAAATTTCTTTCGCGACGGCCATGCCCTGTCTAATCTACATCCCATCCACCCTCTGGCAACGCATCGTCCCCTCTTATTGGCGCTCGCGGCTCCCCTTCACTCCAGTCCCGAGTCCCCATCTACCTGCTCGACCGTCTTCGACCCCTCCCACATCCGGCGACCCTTCGATCCTTCGACCCCTCCCCTTGCACCACCCTGCGTCCGTCCGTCCTGCATATCCCGTCCCACACACCACTCCCTCCCTCCCTCTAGGCTAATAATAGCACCCTCGACATCCCTCCCTCCGCACACACCTCTGCACTCCTTCCTCTCCCTGTCTGCGTCGACTGCCATTCCCTCCCCATATGCCCGAGTCCCCCCTGCGACTCCGACTACTCCCTCCCACCGCGTCTCCCACCAACACCTACTGCCAGAACTTTTAGCTTCAGTGTAATGCATCAAATGGAACACTTACCTCCAGTTGAAAGGCAACTCGACGGCGCAGAGCGCATGGCATGAGTGCTCAGCACACCCTCTGGAAGGCGGAGGAGGTCGCATGAACAGCGCACGGTGTGGGCGTATCTGAGTCGGGGAGAGTGAACTGCAAAGATAAAACAAAAGGTAAGCAGGGCGCACCCTTTTCCAACATCAATACACGTACCCTGTAATCACCCATGTATCTATCCCAAATCTCAATGTATATCAATTCGTCCCATGGCTTCAACATGTGAGACCGAGTTCACATCGGCGGAAAGGACGTGGATGGCATATGCCGTCCTAAGCTCGTGCTTGAGTGAGCGTCGACGAGAATGGTGGGATCAGGAAGATCGCGCGCCTATCGATGGGAATGAGGAGGCAGGTGTTGGAGGCGGAGGCGGCTGTGCACTCGAAGGGGTCGGGATCGTCCAATCACGGTGCACCTAGAAAAGAGAGGGTGAGCAAAGACGAACGTACAAAACCTCGGAACACGCACCCTGCTTGAAAATTGCACTACAGGGAGATGATCCTTGTTAGTAAGATGGTATAAAACTGTCCTACGAAAGACGTACCTCAAAGAATTTCCCTGTACATCAATGTCCCGACGTCGTGTCCATTGTGATCAAGCCGGTTATGTTGGAGCATGGCGCGTACGATCCTAAGCCGGTGCTCCAGCTTGTGCGAGCCTCGACGAGAAGGGGGGGGATGGGGGAGATCGTGCGCCTAGCGATGCGAATCAGTGGGCTCGTGTCGGAGGTGGAGGCGGCCGTGCATTCGAAGGGATCAGGATCGTTCACCGAGCATCTAGAGGACAGAGGGGAGGGATGAGTAAACAAAACTTTACGAAACGCTAACACACATACCCTGCTTGAGCGCGGACATTAGATGTCATGTGGACTATACACTGATGAACCTCGTCAATGACCTGTTAACCAACAGGTGCAGAAAATGCTTACCTCGATGAGCTCGCCAACCTGGAATGAGTTTATCGAGGTGGGTGGCTGCCGAGCTATAGGCAAGCCATGAGAACGACAGCTGAAGCATAAAACAAAGGAGCTCACCTTTGAGCTAAACGACAAGACGCCAATCGACATGGCGGTAGAGAAAAAAGTCGGACTTCAAAACCTGGCCAATCCGGCACAAGGTTCCAGTCACGAGATTACGACGCGTCGATGAACGCGAAGCGGGATACTCGTCTGCGGTGGTACAAGATGACGAGCATGAGCTCAAAATAACTGGGAACGGAAGACGATGTGAGAAGAGAGTGAGTGAGGGATGTAGATAAGGGGGAAATGGGGAAGGAGGGATGAGATGGGGTATTCTCTGGGATGGGTACACCCTTTTATACCCTTGAATAAATCCTTGGCTGCATTAAAATCACCTGACAGGCTGTCAGGCCTACCGAAGATGAAACGGCACATCGTGCATGCCGAAACTTGGAAGTTTCGCTTGAGGAGACATTTGATGTTTGTTGGAATTGGCCTGTTAGCGTCAATCAGGTTAAGCCGAGGAAGGTATTCAAGTTCGAAAAACTCGTACCAGGTCTAGTGGTGCATGCTGAGTCATTTCTTGGTCTCTGCATGAAGTGTAGCAAGCCATAAAGCACGAAAATCGACCAGAAGGAGGAGATGTCCCTTTGAATGGATGAGGACAGAGCATCTGGATTCTAAGCGAACACCACACATGCTGACGTTTATCCCCACTGACTCCGCACCACCAAGGTCCCCGTGCGTTTGAATTTAGGAAGATGTCGAGGAATTGATAATTGGGATTTCGATGTTTTTCATGCCCGAGCTTGAATTCCGGTGGGGATGGAGAGGAAAAGATTTCTGTTTGACAGTGATGGAGTCGCCTGTCGAGATGTTTCATCCTTCGTTTCTTTGAGGCCTGGCTAGTTTGACGTGTGAACCACTTCAGGTTGCTATTCAGAGTTACAGATATTCGATCTCTTGGGGAATCACGTCAGTTGAGACTCAGCCTTCGAATACCTGGAATAATTTGTTGAAGTTACAGGGATCAGATGTCACAGAGATGGTTCTAGTGCGACACTGTTGCCTTCACTCTGAGTTTGTTTCATCAGCAGCATATTTCTCTGTTATATAGCATTCGGAGGATGTAAAACTGGTACAGAATGAAATGAGAGTATCTTTAGATGTCATATAGAAAATTACATTAGTTTCCCAGGTACAAGCCCAGTTGTAGCAGTACTTAAAGTACTCACCGTCGAGTTCATCAAATGCTCAGGGTTGTCGATATCAAGTCCATATTTGGAAAGCGGTACATTCGAAACGGCTTCGAGGCATAGATCAGTACTAGATAACTGTTGATTGGTGATGTATTCAAGGATTCATGATATTACCTACCTGTTGGAATAGCTACGACCCGTTGCAGGAACCTTGAATAATTGAATAGATCAAAGAGCCGGCAAAAGCACAATGGTTTTGCACCTGCAGATCAATTAGCGAACGTCGCGGTGGAGACATCGCAGAAATGACAGAGGTAACTTACATTCCAGCTTGTAAATGCCGACGTCCCCGTGTTCGAAAACAGCCGTAATTCGTAAAAGACTGAATTCGAGGGTTGGTTGAATTGCACGGCTTGCGATGTCAGAGAGGTTCTGGATTTCGGAAGGAAGAATCGACATGACATGACGTTTTGATGGAGGTCATGTCGAAGTGTCCAGATGTATTGGCATCTTACTAATGAAATGCAGAAGTCGTCTCAGAGTTCTGGAGGCTTGAAAACCAAAGTGTATCCGAGTCGAGGTTTGAGCAAGCCTGAGATTTGACTAGAAATGACTGAAAGAGTATAATCAACTCGGAAAATCAGAGATAAATGGTTGAGTTCACTCACCACATGAATCGCGATTGAAAAACGTAGCAGGGTGTTAGCCACTAACTCAGATCAACTTAGATCGTACTAAGGTCACTACTCGCACTTCGGTAGACGACGCTTTAGCAAGTCAAAGGCGACGTAAGTCGATGGGACAGATAGTCACGAAGAACGGAGTTCGAAGTTAGGTAGAATAAACCTTAGCCGAAGCTGGGGTTTAGGCCAGCTGAGGCTCTACTTAAATACACGTGAGTATTCTAAAAATACTACTGCGCAGTCAGTCCATGATGATCGCGCCCTGCATAATCCGGCTGACTAAAGAAAAGAAAAGAAAAGGAAAGAAAAAAGAAAAGAAAAGAATAATCGTAACATTACCCCCTCCTTAAGACTCATTCGTCCCGAATGAGAATATGTCTCCTTCCTTCCACACCAGCGAGTTGAGGGGCTCCCTTCTGCTTTAAAACAGGATTGATTGGACCTCCGCTACCCCGAAAAAAGTCACTTCATTGGGTTCGGCCTCTGACCCTCTCTCCCCCTGGACTCAGGTCCCTAAACTTCCTGAGCCACCTTGCGCCGGTTAGGCCTCAACTGTCTGTCGGGATTCGCGATCCCTAAGGGTTCAGTGCTCGTGATTGAGCGGTGGAAATCCCCTTCTACACCGTAAGTATTGCTTTAAGACTCCCCCATTCCAGAGGAGTTGGTGAATGCGCCGTGGGAGTCAGAGGATCGTGATTCAGAATAAAACGACCAATCGTCGTCATCTTCATCATCGTTGTCATCATCTTCATCCTTGTCCCAGTCTTCGATGACTCTTTGGAGATTATCTACATCCGATTCATCGGTATCGGAGTAGTTAAGAGGTTCGTTGTCGGGCGAAAGTGTGTCGTCAATTGCGTTGAGTTCTTCAGAGTGGGCAGGTGCGGTACACTCCAAAGAGTAGACAGTAATGATGTCAGTGATACAAGGGGTGTTGGGATCATGATATTCAATGGGGAGATTATGAGGTATCTTGTCGTCGTACCCCAGCATTGTCCCCTTTTCATTGACTGTCCATATCATCTTTTGAACGCGGGCCTCATAATCGGTTACGAGTTCTTCCGTGTTGGCCATGTCGGATCGTTTAACCCAGGAGTTTTCTTCGCCGGGATATCCTTTCCACTTGACCAAGTACTTGGTGATTGTCCGACGGGTCTTTCCGCGGCCAACGATTCGATCTCTCTCGGATACGATCTCTTCGATTTCATATTCTTCTTCATCATCAATTAGCTTGGGGGGTGGCCTCTCAGGCCGCGGCTGATTTGGGAATTCGGGTGTGTGGTATGGAGATAATAACGATTCGTTGAAACGGTTGTGAATGTGCCATTTCTGTGGAAGCTTAAGCTCATAGGCTGACGCTCCCTTCTTGGCTACGATAGTGAACGGGCCAACCCGTCGGTCCCCTAGCTTCTTGGTTGGACGGGGGATACTGAGGTTGGTGGAGTCCAACCATACTTTGTCGCCGACTTGGTACTCCACTGCCTTTTGCTTGTGCTTGTCATAGGCCTTCTTCATCGACTCGGCCGCTCGCTCGAGGGACTCTCTAGCCTTCTCCTGTACCTCCTGGATTCCTTGAACAAGTTTGGACGCAGCGGGTACCGCGTCTTGGCGCTGGGCAGTTTTAATGACTTGTCCATCGCGCCCAAAGACCACTTTGTACGGGGAAAAACCCGTGGCGGAGTGTTTTCGGTTATTGTGAGTGAACACGGTGAGCGACAACCATTCGCTCCAATCATCTTGCCGGTAGTTGACGAACATCTTGAGGTATTTTTCAATCTCCTGGTTAACCCTTTCGGTTTGTCCGTCGGTCTGAGGGTGATAGGCGGTGGAAGGATTACCCGATACGTGGATAAGGGCATAAAACTCCTTCATAAATTTGGACACAAAAATGGTCCCTCGATCCGAGATGACCTTTTCCGGCATCACGCCGTACGGGACGTAGACGTGGTCTCGTAGGATTTTAGCGAATCCTAGAGATGATAACTCCTCGGTACAGGCAATAGGAATGATCGTTTTAGAAAACCTGTCGACGATTACGAGAATCGAATTGTTTCCCTTGGAATCGGGAAGTTTGGTGATCATGTCGACCGAAATGTGCGTCCATGGTCGATCGGGGATTTCGTTCGGGTGAAGGGGCGCTTTTTTGGGGCACTGATCCGCCTTGGTACGTTGACAAACCTCGCACCCCTTGACATAAGTCTCTACATCTTGGCGCATTCGAGGCCACCAGTAATCTCGTAACACCAACTCTTTCGTTTTCTCTATGCCTGGATGTCCCGCGGTTACGTGATCATGTCTGAGGGCTATAATCTCACCCCGTAGTTGTTGATCTCTGGGTACATAGATGCGACTGTCATACCATAGGAGTTCTTGATCCTGGGAGACTCCTTTCTCGTGGTTGAGGGAGTCCGAGATACCTCTGTCCCACCTACGCGGGTCGTGGGTGGCCATCTTGATTTTCTCATGTAACTCTTCCACGGTAGGCATCACGAGAGCCCGAAAGTGAGCGGGTTTGAGGACGGTCACATCCCGATTATCGTCCTTCCCTTGGTCGTGATCTGCTCGCCTGGATAATAGATCGGCTTTACGATTCTGAGCTCCCGGTTTGTGGTGTAAGGTGAATTGGTACTCGGCTAATTCGGTTACCCACCGGGCTTGTCGTCGATTGAGCTTCTGAGGCTTTCGGAAGTATTGAAGATTGGAGTGATCTGTCCAAATCTCAAAATCTTCCCGGGCGCCCATGAGGTATTGTCGCCATTCTTCCAACGCGATCATGATAGCGAGGAGCTCCTTATTGTAAATTTCGTAGTTGCGCTCCGTGACGGATAGCGACTTCGAAAGGAACGCTACCGGTCGCCATTTCTCCTCCTGCCACTGGGATAGTACTGCTCCTACGGCTCCTTCGCTAGAGTCCGCCTCCACCCGGAACTTCCCTTCGTCTAGTGGGATAGTCAAGACCACGTCCTCCCAAAATAACTCCTTGAGTTTCTCGAAGGCCGCCTGTTGAGCATCCGTCCATCTCCATTCCACCTTTCCAGTAAGGGCGGTAAGCGGCTTAACATGCTTACTATAATCGCGGATGAATCGTCGATAAAAGTTGCAGAAGCCTAGGAACGATTGGAGTTCTTGCTTCTTCTTCGGGACAGGCCAGTCCAGGAGACCGGCAATCTTTACGGGGTCCATCCGAATCTTCCCCTCGCTGATGAGCACACCTAGGTACTCGGTC